TGATCTGCCTCACAGAAACCTGGCTATCGGACAAAGTACCGGACTCCGCAATACAACTACCGGGGTTCTCCGTGCACCGCGCGGACAGGTCACAGGATCTTATTGGGAAAAGCAGAGGCGGTGGTGTATGTTTCATGATCAACAACAGCTGGTGTGATTATGCGAACGTGCACCCGGTCAAATCCTTCTGCTCACCGGACCTTGAGTACCTGATGATTAAGTGCCGGCCATTCTGGCTACCGAGGGAATTTACAGCAGTGATTATTACGGCTGTTTACATACCCCCACAAGCCGACACTGACCGAGCGCTCAGGGAACTGTACAGCGCGATCAGCAGTGAGGAAACCGCACACCCAGAGGCAGCGTTTATCACAGCCGGAGACTTTAATAAGGGAAACCTGAAGAAAGTCTCACCAAAACTCCATCAACACATCCTTTTTAACACACGTGGAAACCGGCTACTCGACCACTGTTACACCTCTTTCCGGGATGCGTACAAAGCCCTCCCCCGCGCCCCATTCGGCCAATCAGATCACTGCTCCATCCTGCTCCTGCCCGCCTACAGGCAGAAGCTGAAACAGGAAGCTCCAACCCGGAGGGCGGTGCACTGTTGGACGGACCAATCGGAGTCTGCGCTGCGGGACTGTTTTGATCACGCGGACTGGGAAATGTTTCACGTGGCCACCAGAGACATTGATGAGTACACAGACTCAGTCTGTGGATTTATCAGGAAATGCGTGGAAGATGTCGTCCCATCCAGGACAGTTAAATCCTTCCCAAATCAAAAACCCTGGATTAACGGAGATGTTTGCGCGGCACTGGCGGCACGGAACACCGCCTTTGCCTCCGCGAACACATCGGACTACAAACACGCACATTACCAACTCCGGAAGACGATCAAAGCAGCCAAACGTGAGTACAGGGACAGGGTGGAGCAACAGTTTGACAACCCTCGGAGTATGTGGCAGGGACTAAACACGATCACAGACTTTAGAGGGAAAACCAGCACACCGCAGACCACGGCCTCTCTGTGTGAGGATCTAAACGTATTCTACGCTAGATTCGACACAGCGAACACCATGAGACCGGACAGTGTGCGCACCGCGGATGACGTCAGTGCACACACTGTGTCTGAGGAGGATGTGTGGAAGTGCTTCAGGAAGGTGAACGCGCGCAAAGCTACTGGTCCGGACGGGATTCCCGGCCGCATCCTCAAGTCATGCACGGCTCAGCTGGCTGGAGTGTTTACACACATCTTCAACCTTTCCCTCTCTCTGTCTGTAGTACCAGCCTGCTTCAAAATGGCCACCATCGTCCCTGTACCCAAATCCTCCACCATCTCCTCACTGAACGACTGGCGACCTGTAGCCCTGACCCCCATCGTAAGCAAATGCTTCGAGAAGCTGGTCAGGGACTTCATCTGCTCTGCACTACCCGACTCACTGGACCCTCTACAGTTTGCATACCGCCACAACAGGTCCACTGATGATGCCATAGCCCTGACACTACACACTGCCCTGTCGCACCTGGAGAAGAGAGACACGTATGTGAGAATGCTGTTTGTAGATTACAGCTCAGCATTCAATACCATCGTTCCCTCGAAGCTGGACAGGAAACTGCAGGATCTAGGACTGAGCAGCTCCCTCTGCAGCTGGATCCTTAGCTTCCTGTCTGACAGACGCCAGGTGGTCAGACTGGGCAGCATCACCTCATCCCCCATCACACTGAACACTGGTGCTCCACAGGGGTGTGTACTGAGCCCTCTCCTGTACTCACTCTACACCTACGACTGCACAGCCACTAACAGCTCCAACATCATTGTGAAGTTTGCGGACGACACTACAGTGGTGGGTCTTATCACCAACATTGATGAGACGGCTTACAGGCAGGAGGTCAGCGCCCTGACCCACTGGTGTCAAGACAACCATCTCACCCTCAACGTCGCAAAGACAAAGGAGTTGATAGTGGACTTCCGGAGGTGCAGAGAAGTACACACCCCCATCACCATCAACGGCGCTGCTGTGGAGAGAGTGAGCAGCTTCCGGTTCCTTGGAGTACATCTGACTGAGGATCTTACGTGGTCAGTACACACAAACAAAACAGTGAAGAAGGCGCAGCAGCGCCTCTTCTTTCTCAGGAGACTGAAAAGATTCGGCATGAGCCCCCGCATCCTCAGGACCTTCTATCACTGTGCCATTGAGAGCATCCTCACTGGATGCATCACCACCTGGTATGGCAACAGCACCGCCTACAACTGCAAAGCTCTCCAGAGAGTAGTGCGGTGCTCTGAACGGATAATTGGAGGTGAGCTTCCCTCCCTCCAAGACATCTACAGGAAGCACTGCCTGAGGAAAGCGGGGAGGATCATCAAGGACTCCAGTCACCCCAGCCATAAACTGTTCAGACTACTTCCATCAGGAAGGAGGTTCTGCAGCATCCGGTCCCGTACCAGCAGACTGAGAGACAGCTTCTTCCACCAGGCCATCAGACTGCTGAACACGTCATAGACACCTCAGCTTCACTACTGGAACTTTAACATTATGCACTCCATACTGTATATAAATGCCACTTGTTTTGCACATATTCAACTCTGTATATTTTATATATTTTATTATTATTATTATTATTATTATTATTATTATTATTTTTACTATTTAATTTGTAAAAATGTGTATACACACACACACACACACACACACACACACACACACACGTAGGAAAATATTTAGTATACACATCCAGAAATGCATACACTATTATATATTGTACATATATTTATTAGTTTCAGGTTGGCCATTCTTGTATTTTGCTCGTTTGTGTTGTTGTGTTTGCACATCTCTGCTGCTTGTGGGGCTCGCACACAAGAATTTCACTCGCATGTGCTGTGCCAGTGTGCCTGCACATGTGATGTGACAATAAAAGTGATTTGATTTGATTTGATCACAGGTAAGGGTCCACCACCAGTTCCAGGGAGATCTAAACAGAGACAGCTCGATTAGATTCAATACACCATTAAACACTGAGAGAGTCTTTTTAAAATAAGAGCTAAGAGCATGAACACGGGAGGTTCAACGTTCCAGCGCTGACTGCTCCGTGCCACAGCGTTAAATAGGGTAAAGCAGATCAGCGACAGGGCGAGACCCAGAGCAAGAGCCCACAATGAGCTCCGCCCAGGCAAGCAGGAGAGAGAGAGATAAAACAAAACAAACCTGTGGCAAACATGAGCCAGTCAGAGAGGCATGGGGACCATGACAGTTGGGTTTAATGAAGAGTAGAATTTTCGGATTATCACCAATTTTATAAACAGTACATTTGCATAATGACTAAAACTAGCACCACTGGCGAACAATAGGCTGTGAGTTCAGTTTCTTGATCATTAATATCCAAATTGTCATGATCATTGATCAACAACCACTGATCAAAGACCATTGATCAATGACAATTCATCAGTGGCGATGGGTACCATTCACAGAGAGTTGGGCTGCGCTTACAACATTGGTGAAAGATGAACCCTCAAGCCCCCTCCTCGATTCAGAGCTGGTCTTTCCCTTTTCATGTAAATGACCGCCTTGATTCCACATGTAAACCATGATTTTGCCCTGTCCAGGATGCGTATTGAAATAAATCAAAAGTGCTCCAAAATATAACTCTAGGATTTTATTAATGTTTTCCATTCATCCATGATAGTCATTATTCCTGCTTGATGGTAATGTTTAGGTTCACTGTCTATGTATGTAACTGTTTGTGAGGTCATGACAATTTACTTTGGTTGGCTTCGTTGCTGTGTTTAGCATTCTGCTGGTCATCTCATTATTTTATGTTCTTTTAATGTAACAAATTTCTGCATAATGTTCATATGCAGGGCCGTCCATATGTTTGTGGAGATCCACTCTTTAAGAGCATTTAGTTTAACACATGGTTGCTATTAATAATAAATGCTGCTTCATTTGGTGATTGAAATAACTTGGCCTTGATTTGTGGATGCTGCATGCCACACTTTCTTTGTTTCCTGTTTCTTCTTTGTCTTAAGTTTGGGGGGTCAAGGACTAGAGAAGACCCAAGCTGGTTTTTGCCCTAATCTATTAAAAACTATTTGAGAAAGCTTTTTGGTGGGGATGTGTTATGGTCTTTGTCTCCTTTTTTTAACTGCACTTTATACAGTAGACAGTAATACTTAATGATCATATAGTTTCAAACTATTTATGAGAGTCCTTTGAAACTATGACATTAATAAAAACTAGAAACTGAGAGAATACAAGATGAAAATGTGTAACTGTTGTATATTTTTAGTGAATTCATTATATGATAGTTTATTAGTAAAAGTTACTTTTCATTTTTAAGTTTATAAAGCATGTATTGCTATAGTCAGCTCAAAAAAGGGTTAAGTACCTTAACCCTTAAAGTCCTGGAGGTTTTTGTAGCACTGCCAGGGCACAGTCATAAAAGGTTGTTAAATATAGTAGACTATAAGTTCTAATTTCCTTTTTTTCTTGTTCCATAAATCGTTGGGTTGCAGGCTAATACTTTTAAGAAACAGTTTAAAAAGTGTCAGTGTTTACTAACTCGTTTATTGTCTTTTTTCGTTCTGTCTCTGGCCCAGCCATAAACCAAGGAGAACTTCTGTATTTGTAAATTGTCTTTAGAAGCCAGGGTCTTTCGCTTTTACCGTAAAGATTTGACACTTATATGTTTGGGAAACGTTAAAAAAAAAGGAGGAAAATCCACATAATTAACTGCTACAAATAAGAGATACAAGTAAATACAGATTTTTTAAAAAGATAAAATCTTAATGTCAAAATTACGGTTTACATTCTAGTTGATATACTTTTTACCTCAAAAATAAGGTGACTAGTGTACGTCCATAAGAACCACCGACCAACGCAAGCGCGCACGCACACACGCGCGCACACTGACCCTGTTGTGCTTGTGCTGCCGTGGCTGCTCTCTGTTGAACCAACAGATGTGGGCGGGGTTTTCCATATAATTCAGCCAATCACGATCACCCACGACCGGTCGGTTGCGTATGCTGGTCTACAGTGGCTGGGAAAAAGAGAAGAAATGTAGCCACCCGCCAACACATGGGATTGTAGCGAAATAAGGGGAGAACTGGTTGAAACAGTGACAGCTGAAGTCTGCGGGACGTGTCCAGAGAGAGAGAACTTTAACCATGGTTTCCATCGACCATGTGGCTCACAAAATACTGACGTACTTCCCATATGTTCTTGTTTTGATTGATATTAGGTTTCAAGGTAAGACGTTTGCTAGGTGTACTTTACATTTATAGCTGGTGAATGCTACCACTAACTTGAACTCGGGTTAAAGTTCAGACAACTTTATTACATGGGTAATGTCACTGACAGCATTAGCTTGTGAAATCGCTAATATTATTAGCTGACGTTAAGCTAGCTAGTCACTGGGTCAATTTTATTACTTAAAGCTAGCTGGTTTGAGCCTAAAGAATAAAAGATGATAGATAAAACTGCTTCTTTGATTATGCTTGCTCGTGAACGTCTTCAAGCTTGTAAGAAACCCAGGTACTTGTGAAAGTCTTTACCAATTACTGTGGGGAAAGCTGTTGCCGTTGCTCTTGTTATTGATGTGATTTACATTTTTGGGCGGGTCATATACAGGAATATTTAAATAAAATCTGATTATTGCATTACTTGAATGAGTAAAAATATGCTCAGTGTTGTTTTGTTGCACTATGATTTGTTCTATTTGTTTTTTAAGGAGGGAAATGTGGCAAGGATGGGAGTGTGGACAATCACATGGAGATGGGGAAGAAACTTCTTGCTGCTGGCCAGCTAGCTGATGCCCTCTCTCATTTCCATGCAGCTGTGGGTGAGTGTCAGAGACATGCTAACGACACCAAAAAAATGCCTTGGATTTTCCCAAAAGGTTTCTTCTAAAGTGACAGTTTCATTGGCATTTTACAGATATAGATCCCCAAAACTACATGGCATACTACAGAAGAGCTACAGTGTTTTTAGCAATGGGGAAGTCAAAATCAGCATTGCCTGATTTAAGCAGAGTCATTGAACTCAAACCGGACTTCACATCTGTAAGTTGTTGTCTTTACTGTTTGTCTAATGTGTATTTCTTCAGAAATGTTTTTTAACAGATGTAAATTTAAAATGTACATTTGACAGAAAATAGAATTTCAAAGCAATACTTCGTGTCATACTGCAGACTAACCTTTAAGGCAGAACTCTGTGATAAATCTATGCAAATAATTAGATAAAGCATGCAAACATCTGGCAACATTATCTTTTTATTTCGGCTGCGGGCCCAGGCGTGCTGAGAAATCAGTCGGTTCTGGAAGCTGTGTTGATAACTCTTTATTTTACATGCGAAACAAATTCTTGATGTGTCTCACTCAACAGGCACGGCTTCAGAGAGGAAATCTTCTTCTGAAGCAGGGAAAGCTGGATGAAGCGGAGAGTGACTTCAAGAAGGTGGTAAGTAAAGCAATACCCCCTTTTAAAGCAAAACTATGCTGGGGCAGACACTTGTGAGAGAAACAACAGTTCACCAGGAGGTGTCAGTGTTGATCTATGGCCGTAGTAACGTTGCGGTAGTCTTTTTTTGTTTTTTGTTTTTTTTTCTTCAGAATGATAAATATAAGTACAAAGACGTGTATTCATGGTTGTCTATACAGTGTCCTCCTTGTGGTGGATTTCAAGATAACAGATTAAAAAGCACTGTGAAGGGTGTGTTTGAAGAGATAAATGCCACTGAATGAAACTTAATTTTCCTTTACAGAACATAGAACATGAGCTAGTATTGTAGTAGTAGTATTATAGTATTGCATAACACTTATAACACTACAGTGAGGAACAACAGTGTGAGATTTTTGGATAATGACAGGGTAAATGCACTTTACAAAACACATGGTTCTTCGCAGTGAAACACCAGGGAAGTTGAAAGCCTTAAAAGAACAGGAAAGGGGGGTCATGTATATTTGAGTTTACTTACTAGATGTAAATAATGGGGAACGCTCATTTGAGCATTCTCGCACCATTTTAGAGGCTTGAATTTGTAAATGCATGTCCAATTAGAATCACATACTGCCACCTAAAATCATACAGTAAATGGCCTTGCCATGTCTGTGAATAAGTCTTAGGTTCCAATCGGGCTGTACAATATGAAGAATAATAGGATCAGATGGATGATATTAAAACATCCATCTTTTTCACATTACACTCGTTTTATACATGGATATGGTTTGGTTATGAAAAGTCTGACACGGAGCACAGAACTGGTCCCCAACACAGACACAACAAACCTTTTCTACCGGAGTATAGAAAGAGTTTACGAGAAGCAAAAAAGAGCCCCCAGGTGCTCAAAACAAACCTTACACTTAAAGGTTAGAACAGGCTTTTCCCTGCAGTGTGCCATGTAATAAAGACAAGTCAAAGTCACAACACTCGACTGCAGGTACACGACACCCAGCTATAAACACTTCACACAAGTCGAGTTGCCTGAGATTCACAGAATTTACAGAAAACGCACTATTTTGCGATTATATATCATTATCGGGATGAGAAATGTCTTCGGATAAGAGATTTTGGTCATATCGCACAGCCCTAAGTTCCAGGGACTTGGATGAACAGTTCACATGGTGTCACTTTGACCTTAAAGTATGCAGGTCATAGGCTCGTTTTTGGTCACCTGTCCACACTTCCCTGAAACCACCACCAGCAAGCTCTGAACTTCAAGTTGAAGCTTAATGATTAGTCCCATAATCATTCTTATGTTCTTATGTATGCTACACTGAATGATCACAGCCTTGGAATACTTTTAATAGTCTATTTCTGGAATTGCCTAAAGTATGGAAAAGTATTTAATTTTAAGCTGAGATTCATCCTCCATCAAGAGTGCAAAGAGTTCTTTTGCCTCCAGGGGGAAAGATTATATCTGAGCTTCTGCAGTCTATTTTTTTTATTTTTTGTGGACTTCGTTTTGCTGGTATACTGTTGAGGGAACGGGCCAGAGGTGCAGGCTGTTCTGCTGCTTCAGCAGTCCACAACATTGGCCTGGTGTAATGCGTCACATTTATGCTCTTCCTTTAGCTGAGCTAGCAGGAACCATTTAAAGAGTAGATAGGTCTATTTGTAAGAGTTGTGCCATTAGCTGAGATGGCTCTTGTGAGTATGATGACCTCTGCAACGAGATTCATTATAACGTTATCTGTGCAGGGACTGGCAAGCACTGCAGTGATAAGTAATATTTTCGGGAGGCAGAAGATGGCACAGAAATCTCAAATTGGAATACATCTATGAGAGATGGAATCACATTTTCTTTAGCTACATTAGTACTTAGCGTAATGCCTTGAAATCTTCTAGCTGAAGTCCAACCCCAGCGACAAAGAAGAGAAGGAGGCCCAGAGCCAGCTGACAAAATCAGATGAAATTCAGCGCCTGGTGGCTCAGTCACGCCGGAGCTTCGACGACAAGGATTATGTGACAGCTGCTGCACAGCTTGACACCGTCATCGAGGTGAGAGACATTCCTTGCCAGTATTGACTGATTTTCCCACAAGCATAGGATTTTCTGCATTATCATCGATACAGAGAGTACAGAGCATTTGCGTATCACCTGAAGTCTGTAAGCGTTATTGTCCGACTGTTGCAGACGTGCATTTGGGATGTGACCTCTCGTGAGATGCGAGCAGAGTGTTTCATTCAGATGGGAGAGATGGGGAAAGCTATCAGCGACCTTAAAGCTGCATCCAAGTTAAAGAATGACAATACCCAGGCTTTCTACAAGCTGAGCACCATCTACTATAATCTTGGAGATCATGAGATGTCCCTCAGGTAAGGACTCGCAGACTGTTTGCTTTCAAGAAGCTCCCTGCTGCTGTTTACACTGTGGCAATGCCACAATAAGGCAGCATGTCACTATGGTTGATACTCTACTAATCACAAAGCTTTTATTCTAAATTTTAAAAAAATAGCAGGAACATTTCTGATAATGATTTAATCTTAGTTATTTTTTCTTAAAAAATATATTGGATTTACACTTCATCAGAGTGCAGTATAGTGGGTAGCTCATTCATAGACTGTGCCTCATAAGAATAAAAAAAAAAAAGGTAAACAGGATTTTAAATTTTGCTATTATCTTAAAAGGGTTGTCTTTTTGTACAGCCATGCACTTTTGCCCACTCTCTGGAAGTCTAATTTTAACCACTTTCAGTAATATGCATGAGTGAAGTGTGCTAGATTTCCTCCTCTGTGTCAGAAAAGGCAACACTTTAGCTTGAATGTAAGTTTTGAGGAGGAAATGGAGTCAAGAGGCCAAAATAGCTGAGTAGTACTGCAACGGTTCATGTGGCCCAAAAAAAACCCCCCAGAACTTGTGCTTATTTAAGGTGCTGTGAGTGGGCGCACAGTGAAGGCTCTAATGTTTAAGTCGACTGTCTGCAGAAGTTTGCATTCAGTGGTAAAATTGCAAAACAAGAAATGAACCAAACATAGTGGTACAGAGAGCAGCGTATGGCTTCACAAAGGCATAGCCTTCATGGATTTCAAAACACAACTGAAATTAATATTGGAAATTTTTGTGTAGATACTTTTATATTTTATAAAATGGCATCTTTCTATTCTGATGAATGTCATGACGAATGCATTTCCACCCTCAACATTACAAATGCGTGTATGATGATGATGTGGACTGCTGTTTCAGTGACTGGCCTTCTCATTGCTATTATTATTATCATCATTAGAAAGACTGTAGCCATAAATGACATAAGTAAGTTACTAACAGTGTAGGGACTAATGCGCTATTAAGTAACGCGTTACAGTTACTACGTTATTTTTGTGTGGTAACGAGCACAGTAACTAGTTATTATGCGAAAGCCAGGAACACGTTAGTCGTTACTGGGATTTAGATAGGGTCGTCATTGGTTACTTCGTGTGGTGGCTATCACGGAGCTTCCGCAGATTCAGTAACATTAGCAAGTGGTGGAGGACAGCAGGTGGATGAGGGAAAGGGGAGGCAAAAGGAGAGACCCGAAGTGGCCGCCAGTCCGAGTGTCAGGTGAACTGAACTTCAGGTAAGAAGTTATGACCTGCAGTCTATCTGGGTCAGATATAAACCATGTTTAGGTGGAGTTTATTTTCGTTATGCTGACTTTTCCGTACTGCGTACTAGCTAGCATGACGGAGTTTCTATACAGCTGGGTGGGTGCTATGATGTTACTGAAGTTGAACTTTATTTTGTTCATAAGGTTAATTATTAGAGTTGCCAACCGTCCCCTAAAAAAAACGGAATCGTCTCGTATTCAGAGAAAATATTACGCGTTTCGTATTGAGGTGAAAAGGAACATAGTTTGTCCCGGACTTATGCTACAATGAAAAAGACACAAAGCTGGATTTATTCTGTGTCTTTGCTGCACAGCTGCCTCTTCTCTCGTTCTCCCCCCTCCCTCAGCTGATCGGCTTTTCTCTCTTGTTTGTTTATCGCCCACTTCACGCCAGAAAGAGGAAACCGCCGGATGTCGCGCTAAACAACAGCAGCACGTTTAAGCTTGATCCGCTGTTGTTAGAATTTATTTAAAATTAATTTCTAGTATCAGCTGATGTTTGCTGGAGCCACAGCTGTAAAGCAACACATTAAAAAGAGAATTCTGAGTAAAACCAAAGTTACTTTCCCTAGTAACTAGTTACTTTGAAAGTAACGAGTAACTTGAAGTAACTGAGTTACTTTTGATAGAAGTAACTAAGTTACTAATTTAAAGTAACTTGCCCAACACTGGTTACTAATGATCATGCATTTGTACATTAGGGTTTATTTACTGTAAATCTGGTGTGTTATTGTCATTCTGTTCATGTCGTCACCATTGAAAGTTAGCCTTTTCAGCCTCACCTTTCCTCTGTCCTATGATCTCCAGTGAGGTGCGTGAGTGCTTGAAGTTGGATCCTGATCACAAGCAGTGTTACAGCCATTACAAGCAAGTGAAGAAGCTCAACAAACAGATCCAAGCTGCTGAGGAATACATCCAAGAACAAAGGTGTGTTTGTATGTTCATGAAAACCTTTTTATGAGCACGAGTTTAAATTGAATCCTCAGGAATAATGTCGTTTTGGTCCACCTTTAGAGTGCTGGTTTAAGTGGTAAGAGTAAAGTGGTACGGCTAACAGCATATCAGTGAGTGTCCTCACAAAGATAGAAATGTGTCAGGAAAGTCTTCATCTCTGTAAATATAAAATAATATCCCATCTGAATACCGGGGATTGCATCAGCTGTACAATGACGGCTCTCTTATCCTCAGGCTCCCCCACTTCTCTGGTTTTACAAAGAGGCGTGCAAATCCCATCTTAACGTGAATGGATGTCACATCATGTTTGACATATATAAGGTTTCATATTTACAAGACTTAAAAGAGAAATTAACGATGGTGTGGTGTTTGTGGGTGCAGTGATCCATGTTGCAATCCCCTGTTTTGCCAGCGTCACATAATCGCCTCCTGCTTCCTTTAGGTATGAAGACGCAGTGAGCAAGTACGAGGCGGTGATAACCACCGAGCCCAATGTGCAACATTTCTTGCTTCTTGCCAAGGAGCGAATCTGCCATGCGCTAACACAGGTAAGCCCCTTTACTGCTGCAAAAGGATGTGTTAGGCCGCTGTGCTTCTATTAAAGGATCTATCCAAGCTTCGTTTTTTCTTTGTTATGACCAGGCCCAGCAGGCTAGCAGAGCAATCTCAGTCTGTAGTGAAGTCCTAAAGTCCAATCCTGTGAATGTTAATGTGCTGAAGGACAGAGCTGAGGCCTATCTCCAAGATGAACAGTATGAGGAAGGTAAGCCCGACATATGTAGCTGCATCAAGGTCCTTCAAGATCGAGGGTGGGTAACATTTTGTCTGCTGGCTGGACTGACTTGGGAACAATAAGCAAACACATCAGCTGAATAGAATCCCTGCATCAGTGAATAAAAACAAAATGGTACAAATATATATGCACTTTATAAAGTCATAGATTATAATTGTTACTCACTTGCACTTCACCAAATGAAGAAATTCTAGATTAATATTTACCATTTATATTCATATGTAACGTTTCCCATGCATTGACGTCACAATAGTTGGCTATAGTTTTAGACTTTCATTTTCCAAAGTCTGATACAAAAAGAAATTGATTTATTAGTGGCCAGTTCCCTTGCTCTTGTTTTGAAAGTTCAGTTCCTGCTAACCGGATAGCATAAGGAGGTCTCACCACTCAGCAAGCACCTTGGTAATGCTTGTGCACGGTTACTCGCACACTTGAGCCACATTCTCTTTATCTCAGAAATCGGAGGTCATCGGAAAAAGAAGTGTTTTGTCGGATACCTGAAAAGTTGAACACAATGCTTGTTTATTGGTGCTTAAAAACGCTGCAGTGTTATTAGCTCTCTCTATGGATTGTTTAGAGAGTCATAAATGCACAACAGCAGCAGCGTAGATTACAAGTAGCCGTTTAGTGCTGCTGATGTCTTTGTAGCACTAGTTGCCTTGTGGGTTCTCCTCAGTAAGCAGAGAGAGGAGAAACTTGAATTGCTCACATACACACAGTTCGTTATTGTAATTAGTACAGGGGGGGAAAAATGCTTGCTTTGCTGAGTTGCCCTACTTCAGAGCGCCGTCTGCCTCTCGTACTCGGCCACTGTGCAGCCGCTTGCTGTGCTCCACGGCGCACACTCTCCTCTGACCCCACTCCTCCTATACAGGGAGAGAGGTTAATTAGCAGATGCATGCAGGTGTACCACTCTCTCCCAGCTGGCACTGCTCCCTAAACACTTCTTCCTACAGCTGATCCAGCAAAACAAACCCCACCGCCACAGTCTTGCATTGCAAAGTCAGGGTCTGTGTTGCTGATCCAACTTTCCTAATGGGAAATCCAACTTTAGGAGGCATTCCAGCTAAAGGTTTCCCACTCAAAATGGAGCGTGGCATTATTTTGAAGCTTGTGTGCAGATGGCCTGTTTGTCTTCAGTTCAGTTTGGGTGTTTGTTTTATGGCTGTCCTGCTTTTGAGCGCACTCAGCAATGTTTGGATGGAATTTCTTTACATTTGGCAAAAACAATCACTCAAAGATTAAGTCATCAGAATCTAGAGGTTAAAGGTCAGGGATACTATGACTTCACAAAATGCCTTTTTTGGCAATGCCTCACACAGACTGTCATAAGACTGTCACGTTAATCTACAAGAATAACATGGTGAACTGTAAACTGGACAGAAGTCAGCTTCACTGAGTCTCGACAGACATGTGTGCAAACTGCAACTTTACATCTGCAAAGTGGTAATTACAGATCAGCTTCACAAAAGCTGTTACACTTCCAATCTTGGAGTCTGCAGCGCTGTAGATGCTGAAATTCAATTGAAGTTTTTGTGATGAGAACACAAGGATTAGTCTTACTGACTTTATTGGGTGCAACCTGAAACTCAAATGCCCTTCAGCATAGCAGCTCTGCCTCATAATGAAGCTTATAATGACCAACTGAACTACATGTTTGCTGCTGAGTCTGAAGTTATTTGTTTTATACCTTAGAAATTTTTTCTCACTTTAAATTTAAGAACTGAGCAGGAAAAATGTTTGAAAAGCACATTAATGTATTTCAGATGAACTTGTGCAAAATGCAACCTCAATAATAAATGGTAAGTTAAATTAACGCCTTTATGACTGCAAATTTTAAAGTGGGTGAGGTCTGGACTTTGAATGGGCCATATTTCTATAGTGGTTTGGTTCTTTTCTAGTTGTGAACTTTAACATTTAACATGCTAACTGAGGCCTGCATAGTCTGAGATGGCGCTCTTGGGGTGTTTTGCAGTATTTTTGAGTGTTGCACAGTCTGACCTTGAGGTGAATTGGCTGGGATGTTCACTCGTAGGAAGATTGGCAGCTGTCTCGAATGTTTTCCGCTTGTGAATAATCTTTCTCACTGCATGCAGAATGGTGCACTTACCATTACCCTCCTCAGATTGATGGGCAACAACGGTTGCTTGTCTAAGATCACTGATGATTTCTTCCCTCCTTGGCATTGTGTTGGTGCACACACCAGAATGCTCCAGACCGGGAGACCTGGGTGATCGTGGCTCAAAGAGTTGGCAGTTTGTCTTGTAATCGGAAGGTTGCCGGTTCGAGCCCCAGCTCGGACAGTCTCGGTCGTTGTGTCCGTGGGCAAGACACTTCACCTACCGCCTACTGGTGATGGCCAGAGGGGCCGATGGCGCGATATGGCAGCCTCGCTTCTGTCAGTCTGCCCCAGGGCAGCTGTGGCTACAACTGTAGCTGCCTCCACCAGTGTGTGAGAGTGAATGAATAGTGGAATTGTACAGCGCTTTGAGGGCCCCGAAAAGCACTATATAAATGCAATCCATTATTATTATTACTGCCAACACTCCTTTTATGGAGGCGTTCACATTCGTTGCGGATCAGTTAATCGCGTGCATTTGATTATCAGCTCCTGACTGCTGTTTAACCTGTGAGTTTGTCTGAAAGCAGCACAGGTGTGCTTTTTGCACTTGACTGTAATTACCCAAACTCTTGTGCACTACCTGTAACTGTTGTCATGCTAGGAGCCCAACACAAGGGGTCCTTGTAACACAACACAGTATGCAGAGTGAAACAAAGTTAGGCGTCAGTGAAACCTCTTTTAAGCAGCTTCCTTCAGATCTCATAACTGTACATAGAAACGTATGTAGAGTACATCCTGCAAATTAATTTTTGCATGTAAACCAAAAATATTGTTTTTCAGACAGAAGAGAGATTCTAACATCTAATTACCTTCTGCCTCATTCAATACAATCTGTCTGTTAATTACCAAATGCCTTCTATTTTTGAATTTAGATAAGCACAGTGCAGGTTACATGTGTGGCTAAATATAAGAATCTTCATTTTGAATTTGGTTGAAGCATACAGCTAACAGATCTCAAGCCAGAGAAGACAAACATCACCAACCCTGAGAGCACTTTATTACATACAGCATGATTAGAATTAAATGTGGAGCCGAGTGTTGGAGGTAAATATAACCTGCGAGATGTAGACCTGCCCAGCACTGCTGGCAGAGCAAGTGTGCAAAATTACTTGTTTTTCAAACATGAAGCTTCAATGGCAGTGGCAGAAAGTGCGCGCGCGCACACACACACACTCAGCTCTTACTATCCTTAACGCTTTACTGACAGAAGGTGGGATTAGGCTGAAACAACGGTCTCCCCATCAATTGTCAAATTGCAGAAATGATGGCAGATGGTGAAATCTGCAGGAATAATCTCCCACTAATCATTTTACCTGTCACCTGATGTTCAGCTACTGCTGTGCAACAGACCAGTGCATATTTTTATCAAAATTCCTGCCTACACTATGTGTATCTGTCAATTAAATTTAAAATGTAATGAAAACCATCACACCCATCTCAACATGTTTTTATACAGACGGATATTGTAATAGCCAAACCTTTGGTGCTGTAGGACTCGAGCTGGGTAGTGTTAGCTTGAAGGTATATTAAATAATGACAAACAGTGTAACCAGTGACTATATTCAGCAGCACAAATGTACAGACACATTTTGAATGTTTGGACAATCATTAGGGGACTTAAAGCAATACTTGAAGCAGATGATATCATTTTGAAACATATTGGCTTTATGAGTACACGATTAGTTGAGACAATGCAAATTTCTTGGTCTCTGCAGCATTTGAAGATCAAATGATTCATGTACTGGGCTGTGGTGCAGCCCCTCTGTTTAAATTCTATGAGATTGGATATTTTAGCTCCTCTCCATTTAAGGTAATTTTTTTTTTTTTCTAAATCTGATTGGTTTACCTTTACAAACAGAAGGTTTGAACAGCAGGTGGGTGAAACTGCTCACAGCTAGAGCCCTGTGTCTGAGCTCCTGTGTGCTTCTGTGTTCATTGTGGCAAGTGATAAAAATACCAAATTGGCACAGACAGTTGAAGAAACATCAGGAGCACTTTGCTGTTGGAGAGCAAAATGTTGCAACTCTCGCTTTAGTAGATTTTTAGTGATGGAGAACGATGCATTTGCAAAATCGCTGGGTAAATTGTGTTTCTACTCTGCAGTATTAAATATTAGTTGTATCTCAGCTTTAAACTCAGATGTCAGAAACAAAGGTCAACATATGCATAAAGAAAATGTTAGCTACAAAAAAAATAAAGATAAATTAAACCTCTGTGCTTAAATTAGACTGTATAACCGGCAACACCCATATTGATATTATTATTGAAGGCTTGCATCTACTAAGCCTTTATTTCAACTCTTACAATAAAACACACCCATGTATCCATCCAATTAAACCCACAGTAACTGCTGCCATCAGTCCAGGCAGGTCAGCCTGACAGTAATAATATTCTTCTCAAAGATCCCAGCATCACCCCAGCAGGTGATGCTGGCTGGACTAAGTCTGTGTGTGTTGTAATCACCATGGCATAAACACATCAGCAGGTAGTGAAGCCAGACCTTGTGTGGGATTTTTACCTGTTAAAAAACACGGGTGTTAATTCACCACAGAGGGTAAACAAGCCTCAAAGCAACCAAACGTGTGCACACAAACAGCCTTAATATGAAAGTTTATTCAAGGACACTAGTGACGTAATATCACAAAGTGGATATTTGTGGATCCCGTGCTTCACTACTGATAACAATCATTTGTTACGTTTCTTTAAGCGTCTGCTGTGAATTTAAGCTATTTTAATTTAATTGCCACTACCATGGTTCTTCGGTTTCAGATACACGGCAACCATTGCTCTGACAGCTGGATAGTTTCTGAAATTTTAATTGCCATACCTTGTGTAGGTATTTTTATTTATTTAAAAATGTGTCTGTACTAAAGGAATCAATTCTCCAGCAAGTAAGGTGTGTTTAAATCGGCGCAGGTGATGCCGCTCTTCACCGTTCAGAGAGTAATGCTTTTTCTCTGAGAAGTCTATTCTCATTTGTAGAGGTCGATACTGATTTTTACAGAAATTTGTGACAATATAGCATCGACAGCTTGAGCAGGAGACATCATAGATTCGAAGCAGTTTCAGTTTTAGCTATATAGTGGTAAAGTACAACAACAGTCAGCTCAATGCACTTTACATTGTAAGGTAAAACCCGACAATAATAAAGAGAGAACCCCAGCAATCAAACAACACCCTATGAGCACCCACTTGGCGACAGCAGGAAGAAGAAAAAAAAAAAGTAATGTAAAGTAATGTACAAAATTTTCTTATATTAAGAAACCCCCAAAATCGGGCTCAGGGAGGGAACGCTGTCTGCCACGACTGGCTGGGGGTGATGAGAAGAAGACAGGATAAAAGACATGGACGATTAAATGGAGAGTGGTGTATAAACACCATATAGTGAGTGAAGAAGAAAAACTCACTGCATCATGGGAAGCCCCCAGAATCCAAATGATCCAAAATCATCTGCATATTAACCCATATTTAGCCACAAAGTTTCTTGTATTTGAATGAATGAACTCTTACATAAGGGCAGGGGAGGAGCAGGAAGCTGGATATACTGTAGATTGGTGTTAGAGCAGTTACATCAAAGATGTGTTTTTTCAGTTAAGGTATTGTTTACATCACATTATTAGTTTTCAGTGAATAAATAATACTAATTTCATTGTACTCCTTTTTTTTGTCCTCTTCAGCTGTTAAAGATTACGAGACTGCTGCAAAACACAGCGAGGGGGACCGTCACATCAAAGAAGGTCTGGAAAGAGCACAGCGGCTACTCAAACAGTCTCAGAAGAGGGATTATTATAAGATCCTTGGAGTGAAGAGGTGGGAATCGGTCAATGGATTTGGGATTTTTTGCAGATCAAGTTCAGCAAGAAAATGTAACACATTATTGCCAATCAGTTGGTGGAGAATTTAAACTTAAAAAGTAGTTTTCTTATGAAAGACCGCTGGTTTGCTTTTAGGTTGCTTTTTTATCAGGCCAAAACATTACTGCTCTTGAATATTTCATCACTGATGCCTTTTGAACATTTTTGAGTTTAAAAGGTCTACTGATAATCTGAGATGGAATACAAATTTACAGCCACGGAGGCATTTGTATTACACTGGGGCTAGAAAACTAACTCTGACACTTGGATGAGTATTTTTAGGTCTGGCTTAGGTCAAAATGAGAAAAGAAAAGCTGTTCTTATCTATGACAAATGTGCTGATAATGCTGTCGCTGTGGTCACAGAACTGCCCAGAAAAAGGAGATTATCAGAGCCTACAGGAAACTGGCACAACAGTGGCACCCGGACAACTTCCAGGATCCGGAGGAAAAGAAGAAGGCAGAGAAGAAGTTCATAGACATCGCTCAGGCTAAGGAGGTTCTCACTGATCCAGGTAGTGTGTGTGTGGGTGTGGGTGTGTGGAAAGTTGTTAATGCAAGCCTAAATCACTTCAAGAGTTGCTGTACCATTTACCATTACCCTTTAGATTGTTCTCTACAGCTCTAACACTAATGGTTTTAGAAAAAGAGACACTGATTTCTAATTCAAGTGTGTGACAAGAATCTTCACGTTTTCCTAGAGATGAGAACCAAGTTTGACCACGGAGAAGACCCCATGGATCCAGAGAGCCAGCAGGGGCACCATCATCATCACTTCCACGGCTTTCAGGGTTTCAATCCGTTTGGCTCCGGGCCCTTTAACTTCAAATTCAACTTCAACTGAGGCGGCTTACTCTTCAGCACAGCTGGAGTGAATATTTGTACTTTCCTCCCTATTTAAAAGGGAGATCACTGGCATAAAAAGACTGTTCACAAGTATCATAAAAATGTGGAGCATAAGGTGACTTGATTCAGTGAGTCTAATTAATTAAAAATGCATCTTTGCTGTGGGAATCAAAACTTTGGGGGAAAAGGTCTCCTCCTCTGCTAACAAATATCAGACTTGAAGCGGCTTTTATCTATCAGATCTTACTCTTGTATCCTCTCCACAAATTGTACAATCACTTCACATCCATTCGTAGGAATGTATTTGTACAGAGGTACAGTATTATTTTTGTATGAATGGAGGGTTTTTTGAACTGTAAATAAAGAGCTATTTATGTACATTAAATTGAATCGAGAGCATTTTTTAACCGACATCGACAGAGACTAAAGGGTAATAATTGTGACTCCTTAAATTCACGCTGAAAGTGTATATATTGAAGAACAGACCAAGAAAATCTCCTCAAATACATCTTTTGGACCATGAATCATTAACTGACCTCAGTGGTGAGCACAACTCGCAAACAATTTTTGCAATGACATTTTGTAGCAAAGGTTTATTCTTGATCCACCAAACAGTAATATAAACAGTTCAGTTTGACACAGCACAGTGAAAGATGGGTGCCCTGAGAGCAGCCTTCCTGCGCCAGTTTTCTTTAATGTTCACTTTTAAGACATAAATCTGCCGTTTGCTTCAGTCCAGCAGCAACACTGATCTTGGGACAGTTGATTCCTGAGACAAAACTGGTTCATTGTGGAATTGAAACAAAAAACCAAGAAAAACTGTAGAAGTACAGTGAAGTTGAAGACTCATAACATGTAAACATCTTGTAATAACTTAAAATCCCCTACCATCCATTAACCGTGACCTTAAGTGTGCAAATGAGGAGTTTTTCATCCGTAATATTAAAGTCTCGCCTGAGGGATGTACCACAAAGCAAGATGAATGGGCTAAAAGAATGATGGCACTAAAGACGGGAGATTTCAATGTCACCAAGGTGGCTCTCTACTTACAATGAACTCCTTACCTGCTCACAGTTTTGACAGTTCTGAATGACGGGCTGCTGTAAAGAATGACATAGACGCTCCGCTGTGGGATTACTGTGTTATATATAAACCCACAGAGATGCACATTAATACAGTAGCAGTAAACCGGCAGAATCCACATACAGTCAACTGATGATGCGCAAAATGCATAAATATCCTTACGATTGGTTCTGATTTGCTGCAAAGTCAGTTTTATACTGTTGGTATTGCAGTTATTTGATTATTGGTTGACTATTTATCACAGCGAAAGCTCAGTCAATAACAGTAATGTAGGTTTTAACAAAAAGTCAAAATGATAATCACCTCCATTCCACAGTGGTGGTAGCCATGTAGTTACTTCAGTGGGTACTTAAGTAGTACTTGAATATGTGTATATGATATATAAATCAGAAAAATCAAACAGAAATAAAGACATCTTTTAAAACTGGTGTATAAAAAAAAAAGTTTCCAGGCTTTTGAGTCAATATTACAAATGTAACCTATTTTCAATTTAATAACTATTTTACTGGCTGAGGAAGTATTTATTTACCTTTACTGAAGAGTAGCAGTGCTCTGCTTTCAAAATCATGAAAGAACACGACTACCAGAAATTTACCAGAAATAAACTGCATACTGATTATGCAGGATGGCCCTTTTCAGAATTCTATACATCCTATTAACTGATTAATGTTTACATCAGTTTAATGGTGCAGCTGGAGATAAAGATTACTGTAATGACTTTATTTAATTGCAGGCTACCTTAATTCATTCAATAAAAGATAATTTATTGATTTATTTGCAAATTAATGTGTACTCAAGCTTGAAAATGCAGAGAAGAGCATTTGCAGTAGAAGTAAAAAGCAGCCTTTGGAGAACACCCCGATCTTGGCTGAGGTGAGTTGGTCCATTTTCTTAAGTGTGGGCCCAGGCCTGAAGCCTAACAAATAACATTTACAACCACTGTTATCACACTCTGATTATATCTGATTCAGGCTTTAGCTTTTATGGTGAGCTAATGCAAAGAAAAAGCCTTGCGATGTTAAACTTGCTTCACAGTACACCCCTCCTGGCTGCTGAACTAAAGTCATATGTTACACCACACCTTTTTTTTTTTCCTGCCTGGCTCTCAGTTGTCTCACAGCGTGTGCACGGGACACGAAGACGGCAGCAGTTGTACTGCTCTGCTTTTACATTTATTTTTAAGCTAAATGTTTTTCTTCACCTCTCCAGGTCGAATGCGGGCTTTTACTCAAACACTGAGATATAACTTAAGAAACAAGTTAATACTTTACCATCTAACAAGGCAATACTTTTTCATCACATGGTTAAAAAAGAATTTTTGGAGTCGAGAGAAAACATCAAAAGAACAATTAGTGATTTTAAACAACTTTTTAGAGTTTCTTTTTTTGACGTTACACGTTTCCTTAAATCATAGAAAAGAAAAAAAACAATGGTTTGCACCATAGAGGTGAATGCATGGCTACACCTGAGGGGACAGAACTGATGACAGAGTTACATGTGCTTGGGACAAAGACTACACCTTCACCCACCTACGATCCATGGCGCAGTCTTTGAAATACAAGAGCAGCATAGTTTGTATACTGATATTCGATGTTTGCTACGGTTCAAAAATGTATTTTATCCCCCAAAATAATGTAAAAATAACGCCAATAGCTGAAGATACACCCCCTGTCTTTGGACAAGCAGCTGACCAAGATAAAATTTGTAATTTAAAGCCTGGGCAGATAACTTTTCTGGTATCCAGAAAATCCTTTCAGTGTGTTGTCATTTCTGTGGTCTGAGAGGGAACTGGACTGGAAAATCTAGGCAGGGACAAAAGCCTATGGCCAATTACAGGTCTTTTTGGGCCAGGTAATAAAAGTAATATAATATAATGAAGGATAATTCTTCCTTCAGAACATGCTGTACATCATTGGGTGGCAAAAATAGGAGAGGGGACTGCTGCAGGAGAAACATTGTTTCCTAAATGTCTGCCGAGGGGAGCTTTACATTTCAGGTGTGTAGATTCAAAGACATTTAACACTTTTTTATGTAACAACTTGAAAAGCAATTTTTAAAAACTTTCATTTGACAATTCAGTCCTAATGTTTTCATAATTATAAATTAAGAAGCTGTAAAAGTAGCTTTTAAAATTTTCAAAGAAAGGTTAAATTAGATTTGTAGAAATGTGCCTTTGCTAATTGAATTCTTTGCTCACATTATCAGTGCAATAAATGCCCACTGTTTGTCCTTCAACACATACCTAATAAAGCCCCTTACTGGCCTCACGCTTTTACTCTCTGTTTTAGCTTCATTTTTCAGGAACCACTTACTTAACAAGATGTGTCTGTAGTGCTCAGCACACCACGAGTTCACAGCTGGCAGTTAACAATTACACCACGTGTTGATTCTCTAAGATGTACCGAGTGCAGAAGCAGGTATGGCGTCTGAAAATATCACATCCTCCTCCAGCTGGAGATGTAACACTCCATGGCTATGTTTAGATGGAACTGTCTGTCTTCAAGCTTCACAGGTGGCCTGTGTGCAAAAGGTGCCTGCCTCCTTCCTCTTCAGCGTGGTGCTGGCAGACACTAAAGTTCATCACGGTGGTTGTCTGCTGTGCAGAGTGTGGAGGGGAGAAAGTTGGAAAGAAATGCAGAGAATGATCACAGTGGTAAGAGAAGGGGTAAGAATAACCATGCAGAAGAACAGAAAGACTTTGTAGCCCTATAAATATATCATCAGTAACCTTTTTTATGTTGTGAGGCAGCAGGAATCTGTTTTTGTGTTGTTGTGTCTTCCTGTTCCTGGACCCGTCTCAGCAGCTCTTTGATCTCCCTGTCATATTCAACCCACTCGGGCACAATCCTCGCTGCAGCCACCAGCTTGGGTTCCTTAGTCATTGGGTTATTGCACTAAACGAGAAAAGCAGATAAAAACACATCAGTCATGCCGCCAGTGATGCTCTCTCCCAACGAGTCAGATCGTCATTCTCAGCGCTGTCTGTGACAGGCATTTAAACCTAATTTGATTTCCAATTCGGTTAAAAGGACATTAGGCTATGTCTTGTGTCTGAATTACCAAGTGGTGACCTATACTACAATGAAACAATACTTCCTATTCCAGTCTACTGGACCCTGTCCAGTAATTCTCTAAATTAGTTTAGGACGCTGCAGGATTGCTCCTCGGCTGCTTCCTAAATACCAATGCCTCATGGACAATTGTGGCAGCGAGGATGCTCTTGCATTTTAGAGCTGTAGCAGCTGCAGCACGCTATCACAACAAATAAAGCAGATAATAAGGCGTATAATGTAGCACAGAGATATTTTTCAATTAACCCAAAAAGAACTTAAAGAAGACACTTGTGGATTTTACAATCTCAATAAAAGGAACAATTTCATTTGAAGCTGAATTTTTCAGCAAAGACCGTGTGTCCCGCTTAGCCTCCCACATTATTATTTAGTATTACGCAGTCAAATCTAATTGCTGTGCGACTCACCAGGTCTATAGTCTTAGCAGTGGTTTTAGAGGTATCATCACACCATGTCTCACACCACAGCCACTCCTGAGGAAGAGACTTGATGGCTACCTGGTGAATCATGTTGTTAGGAAGGTCCTACAAATATCACAAAACGAATTAAGTCTTGAAAGAGCAAACTCTGCAACACGTAATCCAACAGCACTATGCCTGAGTTATATACCTGGTCCAGGTTAGACAGACTGTTTGGGTCTTGGCTCAAGGCTTGGTACTGGCCTCGTAATCTGTCCCCGGCTGCAATTTTACGGAACTTCTTCAAATCGACTACATATAAGGCGCTGGAAGAAATATGAGCGGAGAGAGAGAGAGGAGACATGGAAAGCAGGTGTTAGAAATCCATTTCCTGAAAGGGGAAATCCCACCGGAATGAAAAAAAAAAAAAAGTAAATGAAGATAAATACCCCAGCCGCATTCACATTATTGTACCTGACACACTATATTAATAAACCCAGAGGTGCAGAATATGTAGTTTCACTTAACACTTATTAGATTTAAGTCTCCCAGAGGATATTCAATGCCTCGTGTTTTTCCTGGTCTCACTGATCATCTCTCATCTTTGATGCTTTTGTCCTGCTCTTTGGAGCGTACCACCATGCTGGTATCCAATCAAGTCGCTGTGGTTTTCTGACTTTTCTTGTTCCGACACTATCAGTCGGTGGTGAAGTGAAACGTTCTGCTCTCTGTTCATCCACTGGCTGCCTCGCTGTCTGATTAGCCATCACACTGACAGAAGGAGAATTCAATACCACAAGCCTAGCAAGGAGCAGAACATTGTATTCATGACAGTGATTTATGATTTTATATGTGCCATGACTGTATACAAAAATAAAGCACTTAACTCTAAGCCCACCTATGTAAACGGCTTCTCACTAGAAGTTAAATGTTCAGTTCTGAGGTGTATGACACCATATTAATCCATTGCATTATTTATTTAGCAAAAACACTAAGCTAATTGTGGAAACAGTGTGTATAGGAATTAACAAAATGCAGTGGAGGAAAAGACATCATCAGTGATCTTAGAGAAGCAATTGTTGCTGTCCATCAATCTGGGAAGGGTTATAAAGCCATTATCAAACAATTTTAAAGTCCATCATTTTACAGTGAGAGACATTCGCAAGTGGCAAACATTCAGGGCAGTTGCTGATTTTCTCAGCAAAATGTAAAACATCAGAGATCAAATGATTAGTAGAAGTTTACCTGATGTGGTACTTCCTGTGTCCCAGATGTGACGCCCAATATCCAGTTTTCCAGAAACGATACCCTTCCATCTCTCTGCGGCTATCACAAAATGGTGTGTAGCCATAAGGAGCACCCTCCAAGTCTAAATCCCTCAACTCTTTCAAATCAGCTCGAACTATCTGCAACACGCAGCAAAGACAGACTTTGGTAAGCAGCCAAAGAACAGATGACACTTCAAAAAGTCTTGCTTTCAGTTGCACACTCCAATATAGCGGTTTCCTACGTCATTTCTGTTTGATCTTTACCTGGTCGGCATCCACAAAGATGATCTTGTCCACAGCTAAAGGGAATAGAACATCCAGGAAGAGGATCTTATATCCCCAGATAATCCTCTGCTTCTCAGTCTGCTGGTGGAGCCAACGGGGCCACTTGTACTGCACTAACTCATACTGAAAGCCGTATGACTCTGCCATGTGAGAGATGGTGTCCTGACCACAGCAAAAATGAAGTCCAGAGGTCAAATTAATGAAATACAAAAGCTGGGTTTGCCTAGCGAAATATTTATGTGATGTAGTAAAGATTTACTTTGAAAGAAGGAGATAGGTAATTCTTGAGAAACCAGAATTTGACAGGTGTTTGTGTATGCCGAAGCACAGACAGCATCATTATTCTGAATTGGAGACAGAATGGGAAAAGGTTAAGTTTGAGGATCAGGGATAAGAGGAACACAATGTGTAGCGCTTGAAAAGGAAGTGCGTGTTTGGAAAGTAAAACTGACCCACCTCAGAAAACGCTCATACAGATGGCCCGAGGCCACAGAAAAAATGTTCAGAACGTCGTCTTTTTTCTTCTCTCCGTCATCCTTCTTTGAGCCACCACCTGTGATGCTGTAAATGAGACCATAATACACGAGTCAGTTGTGTTTGGATTGGATGCGTGTTTTTCATAGAGTGACAATAAATCAAAACTAAGCCAACAGCCACCATGCTTTTGTACTGCCAGAGGTAACAGCAGCTGTAACAGCCATCAGAAAACACTTTCAAACAAACCATGCAACGCGATGCAACACGCCGAGATGATTTATTCAAATAAAATGATAATAATGGGGATGGAAATGCTGTGGAAATCAACACATTTGATATGATTTTCAGCTCCTGCTGGCTCCCAACGAGAGGGCTGAAATAAAGTTTTAGAACAGACCCAGCAAACATTATTCAGCTCTTCATGTTTCCATCCCCACAACATTAACAGAGTCCATGATACAAAGTGAACGATTCATTTGAAAAGCAAATCACTTAAGATTTATGCATAGATGACCTGCTTTAAATGAGAGCATCGTGTCATAGGATTGATGACTTTGGCAGGGATGACACAAATACTTCTGGCACCATTTTTATGATTCAAGCTGTAAAGTGTAAGTGCACTATTACAATTCACTGGTGCAATTTTGACACAGTGTGGCGTTTGAGACACTTCAAAAGAAAATGGGTTGTAATGCAAAAATGAATTATCATACATTATAGTTAATTGTGTTAGGGCTTGGATAAAAATCAAGCCAATCACATCAGTGTCCATTATCTCCTTTAAAAGCAACAGTCTTCTTCATGTGGAAAGTCTGTGGCAGCTTTTCCTGAGGAGAGACTTCCAAAGAAACATGCAGACTTATCTATAGTAGCTCTTTTAATTATTTTTTTGTAAACATGTTTCCATTGCTTCCAGATTTGATTGAAATTATGATCCTCACAGTTTATTTAAACCTTTATGCTGTTGCTTTCTACAGATTCATTTCATAATTAAAACTGGGATGGTTCAGGTGCAATTATATCAGACCCCTTTTTAAAGAATTATCCACATGGCCGTTGCCCTACTACCCTGTGTGGCTGGATGAAGAATTACAACTGAATGATTTAAATGACTTAAATATTTTTATTTTTTTAAGAAATGGAAATTGAACTGAATCAGCCTAGTATGGGAATGAGTACTCTATTAGTTGCATAGCAGATGAAAAAAAACTGTATTGTTTGTTGGACACAGGTCTCTCTTGTAAATGAGAAACTGAGACTACCTGTATAAATAAAGGTTATATAATTTAATTAATTAAAAAAATAAATCAACAGTGTTTTAGAAAAAAAGACTAGTAGCTTTTCAAACGTGAAGACAGAAGATTGGAGTGATTTTGTAGAGTAATGTGGAACACACGTATGAAGATAATGCCAAGCAAGTCAGCACATTACCTTTCAGACAAATGTTAGCTTTTTAATTAACTTAAATGTAAAAGAACAGATAAAAATCGACGAGCTAAAATATTTATATGCTGAGATAAGGGCACAAATGCAGGAAAAATCCAAAGTAAGGACACTCTCCACACTTGGGAATGCATCAACATACCCTAACCGCTACTAAAGAGCAATGGTTCATGATGCAAGGCACATTTAGCGGACAGAAATCAGGACTTGTGCTGGAGGGTAGATGAGTCTGCAGTCAAACTGTGTCCTTGTCTGTAATAGACTGCTGATGAGGGAAGGAGTGTCTCTCCCACACTCAATCACAACCACAACCTCAGCCCCCAGGCTTCAGGAAGACACCAGTGAGTGAGAGGGAGGTGTGAAGGGAGGGGAGGGAGAATACAGTTTGTCCCTGCATGTCCTCTAAAACCAACTCTTTCAGGCACATCTTACCGATAAGAAAGATATACCCACAAAACACAAACTCAGCGATGGCCCTTTATTTATTTATTTTAAATCTGTAGTTCTGAAAATAATGTGCCTGCAGTCCTCTTCAAGATAAAGTATGACTCTTGATAGTTGAACAGTTGGCTTCTGGGTAGTCACCACACATCGGTGGGATCTGGGGAAGCCGACTGCCTGCCATGACTAAGCCAGGCATTATGAAGGGCCTCCAGCACAACAACAGGGTTCCCAAGATAAGCAGCTTTGGAGGGTCAGGTGAGAACCTGTTTGGCTGACTCACCCAAGATAATCTGGATCTCTGGAAGGGTCCACAGAGCTCTGTATAAATCCTGAGCTGTGGACAACACCAACTGGACAAAGCTCTACTTCTGTTTGCCCTCTGCCTATTTAGATTGAACAGGGTGTTTTGACATTTACCGAGTCATTCATTGCCCCCATTGTAACTACTAATACACCTATATACACGCGCAACACACCATGACAGGTTAAAAATAACATTCAGTTTCTCCATTATGGAGAATCAATACATTTGCCTTACTCAATCTCAGTATATACAGAGCAATATAAGATAACCTAATAACAAGGATTTCAGCAAATAAATACACGGAAAACACTTTCTATTCCGGCTATCTAGAATCAGTTTAGAAAAACAATGACACAAATGTGCTTTTTACAGCACCCTTCACCTAAAACCTGAACATCTCCCTCAGGTAACATCAGCGCTGCTCTCTCTCACACCCCATGTGGTCCACATGCTTGGTATTTCTAAGTGCAGCATAACAAACACTGCTAAGTTCCTCAGGCTGGGTAGAAACAATTACTTAATTTTTTCCATGCTAGAGACAAAGGGCAGAGGCAGCTAAATGACAAACTCAAAACGAAACAAAGAAAATACGCAAAAATGTGTGTGTGTGTGGGGGGGGGGGGGGGCATTTGGAATCAGTCCTGTTGTTGCTCTAAAGCAATGTTAAACTTAGTGATGCTTGCTGACATGAGTGCATCTCACTGTTTCTTTGGGAGATTGGGAAAATACATCGTCTTCAGCTTTTTACAATGAATCTCTTGAACTATTTTAAGGATATAAATGAGGTCATGCTTTAAGGTCACCGTTACCATTAAATCAACTATCTTTTGGTAAAATCACAAACTACAACGTCTTTGATGAAATCTTGGGATTTTAACTTTGTAATATCTGAGCTATCAAATAGCTGTCCTCAGCTGCTTCTTGTTTGTGGGTCTGACTTCAGTAACTGAAAAGCTGTTCCACTGGGCTGAGACAGGTGATTGACCTGGCCATTAAAGAATATCCAATTTCTTTGCCTTAAGAAATTCTTGGGTTGCTTTTGTGGTGATAACAGTCATTACCAATTTATACTACAAAGTAGGGCTGCATGATTAATCGTTAGAAAATCGCGATCTCGATTCATACTTATGTGCGATCTCATTTCCAAATGACAACGATTTAAAAAAGAAAAAAAGAAAAAAAAAAGACGACGACGACGATTGTACCGCATTTTGATCCGGGACGTAATCTGCATGAAAACAAGCGCTCACTCTTCCTGCTCAACAAATGAAAAGGGCGGAGCCTTATACCACGTGATACAGAAGCTGTGCCATGTGATGCTAAAATTAGCAGGGAAAAAACAACGGAGAGCACGTCAGGGATGACGAGAAAGTGACAGGAGAAAATCCGTCCCGGTCAACCACCCAAACATCAATAACGGGAACCTTATACAGCGCTTCCCTATAGACGTCGAACTCCCGCAGGCACAAAGAAATTACGGAGGCTATCACTTATCACCTGACCAAAGATATGGCTCCCATCAACACTGTGCAAAACGAGGGATTTAGAAAAATGATCAACACCCTAGACAAACACTACACAGTGCCGTCCCGCAACTATTTTTCTATTGTTGCACTACCTGCTCGATACACGCAGTGTCGAGCAACGGTGGAGACGGAATTTCAAGCAGTACAACATTTTGCAGCAACAACAAAACGTGAGACATTTGTTGTTTTTATGTTCAGTTTCAACTGTTACGAAGTTGATGTGCAGTTAATAAGTGCAATAAATATTTATATTGGAAAAGAAAATCGTGAGAGAATCGTGATCTCAATTCTAAGCCAAAAAATCGTGATTCTCATTTTATGCAAAATCGTGCAGCCCTACTACAAAGCAATGAGTGATAAGTTTTGCAGCAATTTGCTGAATCCAAGCAGAGAGTAGAGTCTGTACACTTTAGAATTCTATCATCATGCATAAACACTAGTGACTCTATTCCACTGGCAGCCACACATACTTATGCCAAAGCATTGCCTCCACCATGTTTGACAGATAATGTGGTATCTGGTGTTTGGCATGCTGCTTTCCTCCTTCTCCGTACTGTTCTGTTTCCTTCATCTGGCCTTCCTGCTCTTTAGCACAGCCAGTGGTTTACAACCTTCTTGTCAGGCCTCTGTATTTGCATTCATGAAGGTGTCTCTTGATTCTACTACTTGATTTGGTTAGATGTTGTGAAGATACTTTTCTCTCTGGACTTTCTATCAAGAGTTCTACTGAATAGCTAATAAATACAAGCTCAACACTTTGAATCAACTCCAGATTTTAAATTAAGTTTTGAATATTGTGATAAATGGCCTCACTTGACAGTTTAACTGCTCCTAAGTCGATTGCCCTCCAAAATGAAGTACTATGCATAAAAAAGCTTTAATTTTTAAACAGTTAATGCAAGATTTTTCCCATACCTCTTGAATGAATATAGAAGAACTGCACTTCAGTCACATCTTTATTTTATAATGGTGACGTATGAGGCAAGATTACAAAAGAAAAAAATAGTGTTACTATCCAAATAGTAAAGGACTCGACTGTTTATTGTTATAATGGTGGAAATTCACATTAAACATGTTTAAAAGTGTCAAATGACCACTTCAGTATGTGTACAATTAATTCATGTGAGCCAAAACTTGAGGCTTCACGCTGGCTCTTAATCCTCAGTTTCAGACAGTTGTTTTTTCTACTCTTTGCTCTGCAGGATGTTAATGAGAAGAGATATCCTCTCTTATGGACAACAGGCTTCTAACAGACTCGAGACTTGCCTGTCCTAGTTTTGAAAGGAGGAAAGAAAACACTCTCGTCTACAAATGCAACTGAATTTTAATTTTAGATATATACATTACAGCCACTTAAGGGAGATTTCCCCCCCTAGCAACCATCTTATTAAGCATTTTATGTAACATTTTAATGGCATGGGTATTGTCATTATTTAAATATAAGCCTATCATGAGATAATAAATGCAACTAAGTTAGAAATGGTCTTAAGAATCCATCCAGTTCAATTTGCTTCATTATTTAGCAGCAGTGATCCTTCTCCAAGCACCTCTGCCAGCACATCAAGGACATGCTAGATCATTTATTGGTACTTCAGTTATAACTCTGACTGCAAGTACTTTTTTATGGTAACATTTAGCTACACTTCATAATACAAAAACACCCCAGGATATAGGGCCCACAAATAATATCTAGACCTGATAAGCACTATACAATCCAATAGCAAATACAGCACACTACTGAATGTGAGGTTCCAGGCATAACAGATCCATCACTGTGGCGAAGAAGTCCACTTAAGCAACAAAGCTGAAAAAACTTCCCCTCACTCCTATTGTCTTTCAGTAGGAGAGCTTCTCCACTCATTAATTCACTCTATTTTTTAAGTATAGCAGCAGGTATAAGGTCATCACAAGATAAATCATTAATGAGTCTCATTTAGTCTGATGCTAGAGCACAAAAACTCAATAACAAAAGATCACAAACGATGACATCAGACAAGCTGTTTCTTTCTACCAAACTCTGTCAGGGTTTAACCACCTGCTTAAAGTGCACCAGCTGAACTTCAGTCCCCATATAACATCTTCTCCAGTGCTTCAATCAGAGGCTGAAGTAGGCTAAACATAGTGAAATACCATCCAACATGAAATATGAAAGCACTGGGTACTGCTCTTCTGCTCTGTTCCAGCAGACAGGTGACATACATATTCCCAGAAAAAGGGAAAAAAAATCAAGCTAAACACTCCTACTTTATGTTACTTATGTCAGCAAAACAGGATTTGTGATGAATCCCGTAGCACTGTTTATGACTATTATTTCTGATTCTGAACAATACAGCTTAATGCTGTGTGTGTGCAGATATATGCAAGTGAACACAATAAAAAAAAAGTTGACCTTACGCATGAATACAGGCTGCAAATTACCTCACGACTTGCTGAAATCGTAGAAAAAAAAATCATCACATGAATAAACAAATGCAAAAAAAAAGAAGAAAAAAATCCTTTCTACACTATTACCATTAGAATAGAATATCACGACTGATTCCCATTCATTACAATACTTATGAGAGCACTAAAAGCGACCAATAAACACTGCATGCTAATGAGTATGACGAGAGGTATTAGGTGTTAAATGGTTTGCAGCAAAACTGCCTACCTTTTCTCAAATGTGCTCCAAACACTTCACACAGCAAGCATTAAGTGAGGAGACAGGATCACACAGTTAGGAAGGATTTGGGAGGAAAACACACAAATGCACACACATACCTACAGAAGCACATATTTTTTGCAAGACTAGATCTTACAGCATAATATTGCAGTCTGGATCCAGGGGAGGAGTAAGATCTCCTGAAACCGCAATGTATAATTGACAAATGGAAGGCGCATCAGCACATCTATCAATCCATCAATGAGCTCACAGCTGTTACTGCCTGTCAGCTGGAGAAGGGCTTTAAACCTAAAGCCAACCAAATATAAGCTGTATTTGAAGAGATTACGCACCTTGCTATGGATTCCCATATGCCTTTGCTTTCACTAGCTTCACTTAAAAGATCTTCGCCAAGCTTGTCTGCCTTTTTCTGCACCTATAAATATAAAATACACAGAAAATAAAACAATACTGGAAAATATTTTAGCATGGGTTATGTAAAATTGTTTTGACACCATTAATTTGTAATCAGTCAATCCTAGGCACATCTTAGAAAACTTCCAGCTCTAATTTCTTTATATTTGGTGAGAAAAATGAGAAATAGCTGCAGGGACTTAAAAAATGTGCATACATACATTGGAAATATTTGTACAATTTTAACAGGCTTGAAAGTCAATATTTGGCATGACCACCTTTATTCTTCAACACAGCGGGAACTCTCTCAGGCAAGCTTTCTTGTAATTTCTTTAAGTAGTCTTCAGGAATAGTTCTCCAAGCTCTTTGAAGGAAATTAAAAGCTCTTCTTTGTATGTTGGCTGTCTTTTTATTTTCCATTCTCTCTGAAGATGATCCCACACTGCTTCAATAAGACTCAGGGCTGTCAGGAGGCCAATCCATGACTGATAGTGTTCCACTGTGTTTTGCCCAGGTATGTTTTTACTTCATTGGCAGTGTGTTTGTTGCTCATTGTCATGCTGAGAAATGAAGCTGTTGCCAATCATATTCTTTCCAGATGGTACTGCGTGGTGGACCAAAACCAGACGGTACAACAACAGTGCCTTGAGGCAAACTGTTATTATGATTATGGGACCAGATGCATCTCTGTGATCCTGTCACTTTTTCTTTTTAATTCAATTGTCAAGTTTCCTCAACTTTTTTTAAGAGCACCCTGCTTAGACCATTTAAAAGTCTGACTCATTGGAAGCAAAATATAAAGAAGTAAGAGGTGGCTCAAGACTTTTGTCCAGTGTATTTTAGCTTGGATTGTGTTAAGTTGTCTTCACACCATTCATTTGTGATCCGTATATCATAGAAAACTGAAGAAAAGCATTTTCAGTGTGACATTTACAGTAGCACATCCAACAGGAAACACACTCACCCTGACTTTGATGATCTTACTATGGAAACTGTTCAGCACAACTATAACATCACCGGCATCTGCAGGTGAATCAGTTCCATCGTGCCTGAAAAAGTGGATCGAGAGTGAGAAAATGCTAATTGTTACTGAGAGTTTTAATACTTTTTTTTATTTGTCAAACAATCTGCAGCTCACAGATATACATGTAAAGAATTTAGACTTTAACGTAGAAACAGACATACATTCATCAGCAGTCATAAGTCAAGTCTCTGTTAGGCAAATTAATAAACGTGTTTAAATAAGAACAATAAAATTAATGTTCCTAGGATTTAAATCCCTGTTTTTAACACTGCTACTGCAAATTGATCATTCAAGCTTATAATCTAGAAGTTTTGCTAAGCTGAAAAATGTGAAACTCAAATAGACAGAAATACATTTAAAGCATTTGTTTTTCGCTGATTTTGTGTTCAAAGAACATTAGAACACCAGAGCTAATATTTCAAGTAACGCAATCAGTCTACGACCTGCAGTGTCTCTGTTGCAAACATTAAAGGGAAATACATGTGATCAGTGGCAGAGACTGCTTTACATGCTTCATCCATGGAAATAACACATGAAGGAGACAACAGCTGCTAATGGACCGACAGTGTGAGCACACACTTAAAAGCAAATAGTGGGACAGCTGCCAGGGTCACACTCTGACCATATTCATTACCCTCCATCATCATTAAGAATCACCTTACCATTATTTTACCCATCACTACTTCCCAGCCTTGCTCTATATACTCGTAGATTTAATGAGAAAGTCTGTGCATTATTGATTCCGTAAAACAGCCTTTCAATGTAATTGTTTTAGGACTGATTTTCCCAGCACAGAATGTGTTTTGGCAGGCAGAATCTGCTGGGCCTAATGGTGAAACACCAGAGAGCAAACTTCAGGCGGAGATGAGCAATAGGCCATGATGCACTACAAGCCATTACAACCTCAATGCTTACTAAAGGCAAAAATCTAACCTTATCACTATGATAAATGCCCCTCTCTCATTGGAGCCAATGCACCCCTCCACCGCTCGTGCTCAAGTGCTGCTTGTATTTTGCCCCTTCTGCTGTCAACGGTGCAAGTCAGTCTTTAGGGCTTGTTTTAGAAAGCACGAGAGATCAATCTGTATCCCTGCTCTGAGAAGAGGAGAGCTGGCCATCTCATTCATCGCTGTCAGAGCGAGGTGTCTTGGCAGCACGGGTGGAAGAGGAAAATTCACACTCTGGGACTGGAGAGCGCAGACACTCCCACTAGGCTCTGATCGGCCACCTAACCAGAGCAGAGTGCCGCTAACCACAAGAATAATGACACTGCCAAGGTGAAAAATGACATCACCTCTTAGCTTCACCTGGAGGATTGGGGGATAAATCTTGGTTGTCTGAAATGATTCGAGAAGAACCGAGGGCTGTATGTGTCCTAAATCTTATGTGAGGATAGCCAGAGAGAAAAGTATCTGTGATTGTAGGGACATCTGGACCAGCGCACTAGAAATGCCCATACAGACTCGCATACACAGTTGGGATTACCACCACTTTGCTGTAAGGCAGTGCCGCTTTGTTATGTTACGAAGTAAAAAGAGGTTCCCTTGAAAAAAGAAGAATTTGATTTATTTTAGATCAAACTGAAAAGTGCAAAAAGCACATTTCAAGTGCAGAATTCAAAGAGTGCAAGGACTGAAAAAGCTGCATTTGCTAGATATTTATCCAACAAACCAAAGCAAAGTAATGTTTTTATTTATCCAGGAAAATTAGACAACCACAGCTCGCTCACTTTAGTATGTGGAGCCTTTGACTCCTACGCCAACCCAACTAAAACACATTCTGCTGCTGATATTCTGTTGTCTGAGGTAGATGCCATGGCAGGTGACCAGCTGAATCATCTCTCTACTCTGTCTTCTCTTTAATAGCAACCCTTTCCTCCTACCTGTCTCTCTCAGCTCAATGCTGAGCAGAACTCTGAGCACTCATCAAAACCTTGCATTGCTACAATGTCAGCAGTGGTCCACGTTGCCATAGTGATGGGTTTCATAGCTACCAGAATGAAATGGAGAGTTAGCTGAAAGCAACTTTGATGTTGAGCTATGGATAAAGGTGCCCAATAAACACGACTTATTTACTTAGATAACTTAGGTCTATCTAGAAATATCAGGACTTCAAAACAGCTTTCATGCTTGTGGCTCTGTACCCACCAGACAAGATAGGCATAGGATGTTTAGAAATTGTACAAATGAACATAAACACGAATAAATCTGGTCCTTTTTTCTTAGTTTTGTGAGTGAGATGTAGTTTGGGCTGAGCTGAGAACAGGTGACTGACTCTGCTATTGTCAAACAAATACTGCTCCACTGAACTTGCAGTAAGTTTTAAACCTGGTTTTAACCTTTACTCTCCAGTACTCTCCTTATTGTGGTAGACTACAATGACCTGCATTGTGGAGTGCAGCACGCAGTAGGATATTGTGAAGATTTATCATTCGTCACAAATAGGACCCTGGAATCATCTGGGCTTTTTTGAGAGCTCCTTTGACGGCATGTTGACTGTTACCTGCTTAACTGATGATGAAGAAATAAAAACAGAGAAGAACTCACGTTAGGATTTGATAGATTTCTTCTGATCTCCCTTTACGTAATCTTAGGATCCAGGCTCCAGGATTTGCTTTCAGCTGGAAGTATCCCTGTTTTGGTGGAAATGGCCTTAGTAATGGCAATTAAAATATGATTCATTCTCAATCCTAGTGCAAAGAAGCTATGCTTCTGGACTTAACACAGTGCAAGAAAATTTGGGTTGTAGTATAAAAGGTTGCTGACCAGGTTAGCCATGACAATGGTGTCATACATGAGTGGGTCTCGGCTCATGCCCAGCGTAAATTGAAGTCCACGAGGAGGCTGGCCAGTTGACAGGTCAAAGCAGTGGCCCTCTAGCAAGAGGTGCTCCAGTTCAAATTCTGCTGCCACAACCCTGTTCACCTGGAAAGAAAAAAACAAAAACAAATTACAGAGCACTAAAATAGATGGGGGGGAAGCACTTTGGCGCTACCTAAATGTGAGAATGATGAGATCACTGGGTAGTAATGAGTCAGCATTACAATACCTCCTGCAAATGGATGTTATCCAAGTCATACGGGCTCCGGACTGCCTGCACCATCCAGCTCTCAGGTGTGATCATATTAAGAGTGAGGAGCGGAGTTTCTGGGAGCTCCATGAAGCGGGCAACTGGCCCTGGAGACACGGTGTCATTGGCCAAGAAAATAACATCCGGCTCCAAAACAAAGCGGTAAAAACTGTGAAGACAAGCAAAATCAAGTTAAGGGCCATTCCATAAATTTCAGTTCAACAAAAAAATAAATAAACTGACCTCAAGATCAGCTTATTTTTTTCTGTACAAATATTTCAGCCTATTATGAGCATCTTGTAATTTCACAAGTCCTTTTTCCAAAACCTTTTAGTCCTCATAACTTAGTATATGAGACAGCTACATGGCATTTCCAAGCCTAAAAGTACAGCTCTGTTAAAACACACAACAAGATCTTTTTCTTTTTACACACACTCCAAGTGTCACAACCTAAAGCCAGAACAATTATCTATAAGTAAGTTTGAGCATAAATATCCTGAGATGTGTCATAGTTTCAAGATCAAAAATGAAACCAATTTAACGTCTACGACATCGAGTAACAGAATCAAGCACTGGTACCCTGGATGTTTTATCTGTTATTGAATAATTCACTAGATATGTTGAATAAGTGGCTGGTTAAAACAAGTTGCAGCATAGTAAAGGTTTACTTTTTTTAATCTACTTTTAGGTATCAAGGTAATTAAATATACTAGAGGTATTTAAGAGAAATGATTCAGAGTGGGTCAGGTGGGAAGGATTCACTGATTATCATTGGATGACCTATAATATGCAACAAATAAAAGACCGAACCTTTTTCCACTGGACCGAGATAAAAATTCCATCCAAAAACTCATTGTCCTCTTCAGCAAGCACTGAAATGATGACATGTTGTGCAATAGTCTTCTTTCTGTGACACGAGAGATGGGCCCTGTTGTGACAGCTGGGTATATACAATTTCTTCAAAGTGAGGAATCTAATTCTATTACTGCCAGTGTTCCTGCTCAACCAATAACAGAACTACGTGCTGCACTCTGTGTACCTGGAAACTTCTCTTTCTCCATCATTACAATTGGTGCAGAGGCTAGCTCCAGGCTAATCTTTATGCTAATTGTTTTTCTTCAGTGTGCCCTCTGACACAGAAGACTTGTAATGAGTGTAAATAACGTGGCAGATAAACATTACCAATGCTAATTCTTTTAATTCGCAATGCCTATAACACATTTCTTATTTAGAATGAGAATTCTCAGAAGTTATTACCAACTACAGCAGCAATGTGGTGACTCCAGGGTGAGATGGGAGCAGTAGAGAAAGTTAAAGTTAAGGAGGTAAAACCAAGCACACTACAAGAAACACAGAGTGCTCATTTGATTGGTTCCAATTTGTGAGATGGCCAATTCCCCACAAGACGAAAAGTGAGAGAAAGAAGATGAGCAGCCCTGTGGTCACTGCGGCAGTCTCACTGCTATGAGAAGTACACTACTGACTAAAATGAATCCAGTGACATAGAGCAGGATTCATGTGTTCCCACCATCAGCAGTATCTCCAGGGGCGAGCTGTAAGATTACCAAGCCTGTGGCTCTAAAAAGTAAAACGAAGTAGATACTTTGCGTTAAAAAAAAGATTAAAAAAAAAATAAATAATAGTATAAAATTAGTCCACTTTCAGATTTTTCTAGCGAGAGTATTTAATGATATATAATATTTTAGGACATTTCTTTCTTAAAAGGGTACTGTTTCCACAAACCACAGATCTCCAGCAACGCCAACAACAATGTGTGGCTGGGTGATCCTGTTTGTTGTTTTTTAGAGTCTGTCCTTCACCCATGAGCTCACATTTAGTCAGGCAGAAAGTGAAAATTGCATATAAAGAAAGCAAAACACAAAACACCTTTCCCACAAAGGTAAATACTATGATACATGTCTTTGTTGTTATATGCTGAACTATTAGAGGATTAATACTGCAGGTTGATTGTAGACATTTAGTTTACTTAGATCATATAATGTACTTTTATTGGCTACTTGATATAAATGTAGCAAGTCGTCAGTTACATCAAATACAGGCAAGTTGTCAGTTGGGAGGATATGGAGTGGATGGGTTGAAGAGAGTAGATGTGCCAGTGACTTGTGGAGGGACATATCCTTAATTATACTGGTACTATGTCTGGTCAATTCAAGTCATTATGAAAATCTTCCCTGGAAAGTGAAGATTTAATTCTTGAAGGATTTTTTGTTTTGGTCATCTTTCTTTTTCACAAAAATAAATAAATAAAAGCCCACACCACATCTGAGCTGAATGCTGATGAACAGTTTCAACCTTTAATTTGCTTTTTTTTTTATTACTACTATTGTTTTCACTGCATGGTTTGAACTGCAACAATGAAGGTTGTAAGCAATTTGCCCAGAGATGCAAGTGGAGGCCCAAAGCAATAAGGTACTATTATTAAGCAGATTGCATCTGTGCAGTATAAAGGACGGGCCAAGTTAGAGATGCTAAGTCTGCAGCAGTAAGAGGATACACAAACAAGCCAAACAGGAAAATTTAATTACTGTTGGAGCTAGATCTTACCTCTTGAGAGGCATCTCAGATAACTTGGCCCTGCAGTTCATAAACACCTGCAGTCTCACATTGACCACTTGACTGAGCACCTGCAGGATTCACAGAAAATATGACCCAGTTAAAAATCAAGAAACAAGTACAACTTAAAGTGGCTGAAATGTGTTAAAACACACGTGAGCCGTTTTCTTACTAGTTACTTATTATATTGAACTTTTAAAAGTTCTTCAATGGGAAAGCATAGATATCCTTACATACGTTTCAAAAATTATTTTTTCAGTTAAAGAAAAATATCTTATATAATTATATCTATAAAAAATATTATATTAAATATAGTACAATTGCATTTGCAAGATATGAAAGTTTGAGTAAATCTCAGTTCAATTACAATGCAATGATTTTCAAGTCAACTGAAAATAATACAAAGATGAATACAAACTTTTCTCAAGTTCAGTATCTGACATGTTGTATTTGTACTACAGTGCTGTGAAAAAGTATCTGTCCCCTTACTCATTTCTTTCTTTTTTTTAAAATATTAGACAAAGACACCCAGGGTTAGTTTAAATTGCAATTTTACATTTATTTAGGGAAAAGGGTGGAGGTCATTTCTTTTTTCCACACAGAGCCAGGTAGGTTTGGATAGCTTTTTCCCTTTAATAAATTATATTACTTAGATATTTTAAGCAAATATAAAATGCAGTTTTTTAAATGACGATCATTTCATTCATTAACATTACAATTTGTGAATATCAAATACATAAATGTGACAAATAGACAATAAAATAAGAAAGGGGGCAAATACATTTTCATCCATCCAACCATCCTTCCGTCCGTCCATCCATTTTCTATTGCTTATCCAGGGCCAGGTCCCAGGCACAGCAGTTAGAGAATTACAGAAGTCCAGACATCCCTATTCCCACCTGTCCCCTACTCATCCAGGTGCATTCCCAAGAAGAGACATAATCTCTCCAGCGAGTCCTGGGTCTACTTAGGGCCTTCTCCTGGTAGGACATTTCTTAAACACTTCATCGGGTACCAAACATCCTCAACTGGCTCCTTTTGACGTGGAGAAAGAGCAGCTCTACTCTCAGTCCCTCACGAAAGAATTAATCTTTCCCCTGTCTACAAGAGCACAACCACCCTTCAGAGAAAATTCATTCCTACTGCTTGTGTCCATGATTTAATTCTTTCAGTCATTACCCAGAGCCTATGAACATAGGTAAGGGTAAGAATGTAAGAATGTAGATTAACCCATAAATTGACTACTTCGCTTTTACACTCAGCTCTCCCTTCACTACAAGTGATCACAAAGGATTGATACAGCATTCGCATCACTGTAGATACTGCACCAATCCATCTGTCAGTCTCCCACTCCCACTCCCCTCTTTCCTCACTCATGAACAAGACCCCGAAATACTTCATCTCCTCCACTTGGAGCAGCAACTCGTCTCTGATGTGGAGTAGGCACTTCACCCTTTTCCTTCTGAGAACCATTGTCTCAGACTTGGAAGAGCTAATTCTCATTCCCAATGCGTCACACTGTGCTGTGCACTGCTACAGTGCGAGCTGTAGGCCACCACCAGCCAACAGCACCACGTAATTTTCCCCTCCATTAATCGGCACCTACGAGGTTCCTGTATGTTATGTTGTGTGTGTGTGTGTGTGTGTGTGTGTGTGTGTGTGTGTGTGTGTGTGTGTGTGTGTGGAGGGAGGGGGCTTAGGCTTGGTGCAGCCCGAAGAGATGACCTGGGTCCGCCCTTCTGTGGGCTCACCACCTGCAGGACCCATAATAGGGATCAGGTGTATTGTGCATTGTGTGTTAATAAGTAAATGGACTGATTCTTATATAGCGCTTTTCTACTCTCCCGGCAGTGTTGGGGAGTAACGGAATACATGTACCGCCGTTACGTATTTAAAATACAAAATATGAGTAACTGTATTCCGTTACAGTTACCGTTTAAAAAGGTGGTATTCAGAATACAGTTACTTTGTTGAAATAAATGGATTACACGGCGGTACTTTCCTGTTTCATATTGTCGCGGGTCAGGACTGTTTCGGTTTTGTTTGACAGCTACGTTCTGATGTTCCAGGCGGCAGCGTTACGGTTGCCATGGTTACAGGGCGACGCTCTCTCTCTCTCTGCGACTGTGTGTTTCCTGGGTGAGAGAGCGCCTTTTCGTTGTTGTTGTTGTTGTTGTGCTAAGCTAACAGGCAGAATGCTACAAGCATAGCTCTAAAGAATGTAGCATCATGGGCAGTGTAGTCCGTGTTGCAGGGAGAATGGACTGCCATACCCGTTATGGGTCTGTGAGCGCGAGGAGGGAGAAAAAGGGGAGTGGAAAGGTACGAGTTGTCATCGAGGAAAAATGGGAGCTGGAAGCATGTAAATATAATAATAACCACTGCAGCCAAGAAGAGTGCCTGACGAGCCCAGTTGTAAGTAAGCTATTAAGACTCGACTGTACACCGTGTTCGTGTTTTCCTCCGAAAACAATAAGTTCTGTTGGAGCAGCCTTTCAACGCCTGTCTCTGTCTCTCGCCAGAAAAGTTGACCCACACAACAAAGTAAAGCTATTTTTCGGCTACGAGCCGACAGGGACCCCGCCGTATTAGTCAGAGGTCCCTTTACTACAGTTCGGAGTCGCGGACCTTCAGTAATAGTAATAAATCACACAGCAATAGTACATTCACGTTGTTGTAAAAAGCATGATAATATATTAAGTAATCCAAAGTATTCAGAATACGTTACTGTCATTGAGTAACGTAACGGAATACGTTACAGAATACATTTTGGGGCATGTATTCTGTATTCTGTAATAGAATACATTTTAAAAGTAACCTTCCCAACACTGTCTCCCGGAGTACTCAAAGCGCAGTATACAACATGCCTCATTCACCCATTCACACCTACTCATACAAGCACTTCTAGACTCAAGTGCAAACTAACCAACATTCACACACATTCACACTCCGAAGAACGCATCGGAGGGCAACTTGGGGTTAGTATCTTGGATATTTGGTATGCAGACTGGGGAAGCCAAGGATCAAACCACCAACCTTCCAATCAGTAGCTGATCTGCTCTACCACCAAAGCCACAGCCACCCAAGTGGCAGTAAGGGGCGGAGGCCCTGATGGTACAATCCCCTGATGGTCCTGAGTTCGATTCCACCACCTGTCCGGGGTCTTTCTGTCTATAGTTTGCATGTTCTCCCCATGTTTGCGTGGGTTCTCTCCGGGCACTCGTGCTTCCTCCCACAGTCCATAGACATGCAGTTAGTGGGGTTAGCTTAACTGGTAATTCTAAATTGCCCATGTGAATGTGAGTACAAATAGCTGTATGTGTTTATGTTTTAGCCCCGCGACAGACTGGCAGACTATACCCTCCCTCTCACCCTATGGTAGCTGAGTAGCTGCCATAGGGTTCCAGCTCCAGCAACCCTGACAAGGATAAGCGGAACAAAATGGATGGCTGGATGGATGTTGTGAAAACTTTCTGGCCAAATTAATTAATGTATATGCCACATACACATTTTCTTTGTCATTTTTTTCCAATAATTCCAATAAACAAATAATTATTGTATTTAAAGTAAAGTCTATAAAAGAATATAAAGACTAAAATGGATCCCAGTATGATCCTGAAAATGACACAGTCTATCATATTTTTTTTACCTCAGCAATCTGCATGTCTTTCTACCCTTCCTACATTGAAAGTGATTTTAGGTGTGATTTTATAAGTTCTTCCTATATCAGAAAATGATAAAGAATAATGGGGAAAAATATAAAAATGCACTACAGCTTACAGTCAGAAGGGAGGAAATCTTCTGTGCTTCTCTTGTGAGGGGGTCAACGATTGCCACAACATCATAGAACACCTCGTTCTCACGTGGAGAGAGATGAAGCACGCTGAGGAACAAAAAAAGCACACCAGAGCGAATTCAACAAACAACGTCATACAATCCTTAATCAGCAGAACTGCAAATCAAAAGACTTGCAGCTTGGCACTCCTTGAAATGATGGCATTGCAATTTTCAGGCCCATTACAAAAAGAGGAGCATGAATACTTTCCAATGAGACTACAGATCCCAAAGGGGAAAAAGAAATCCCACCTGTGGGTGTCTTTGATAAAGTGGACATCTCTTCTGACTTCTCCTTTGGGGGCTGCAGTTAGCAGGGCATCAACTTTCATAACTAAGTCACTGGCACTGAGGGGGAAAAAATCAGTTTGTCATTTTCTTTAAAGCATTTGTGTTAGTGAAGATGTTAACCAGCCCTTGCGCAATATAATATCAAGCTTTAAATAGGCAGAGTCACGCCTTAATCAGGCTACTGTACCTTAAAACTGAGAAAGTGACATTTCTTCATGACAGAATACTTTCAAACATTTGATACATGAGGAAAAAAGAAAATCCTACACTAACAGATAATTCTAGACAAACTTAATGCAAAGGTGACACAGAGGGAACGCTTAAACAGATGCACACATTTCTATCACAGACACTTCAAAGAGACAAGTAGGCCAAAAAGAAATACAAACATACTGCTTTGGCTTCATTCCCATCTGTTTAACTCTGGCTTTGACTTTCTCTGCAGAACCGCTCAGAGTAATCTTTTCCAGCAAGTGGAAATCCTCCACAGTGAATTCTTCCTGCTCTTCAAACGGACCAAGGATCTAACATGAGGAAAATAACACAGTCAGAACACGACTTTTCCCATTCTTATCTCACCATGTATTATGTACAACTTTCCCAGGGGATGTTAAATGTAATGTGATTGTGACACAGTGTTTTATCCACTTAAAGTCACGGTATTCAGTGAGGCTGCCTGGTTTTTCTATTCTGGGAGAAGAGCCCTACCACTGCAGCAGAGCAAAGTAAGATAATATTAATTGTTACTGCCATCACAGAGACTGGCCTCTTTATCCGTGGTTGTCAGCATTGCTGTTGCTGAGACATCAGTCACCAGCTCTGTACACGTACAGTGAGCACGTGTGCACACACACACACACACACACACACACACACACACACACACACACACACACACACACACACACACACACACACACACACACACACACACACAGCCGTGCCTGCCACTTGTGACCTTTGAGAAATAGACATGCTGATATGACAGTGCTAAGAAAGCACTCTGAAAACACTAGAGGGAAAAATCCTCCAAAAGTGCAGCTGCATGGAGAATCTTTCTCTGCTGTAGCAAACAACACCACCAGTGCTTCTTGTCACTGGCAATAAAATGTTTTCTATTCAAGAGAAGCCATCTAAAGAATCAGCTGCCTGTCAAAGTAACTATTTTTCAAGTCACAAGGAAATTGATAGTTGGTGAGTCTCAAGTCAAAAACCTTATCCCAGTGAAACTTCTTACAAGAAGAAGTCATCTTCTAGATCATTAGTTGCCAAGTTACTGTCACACTTAATTTTGAACAGGGCAATAGTTTCATTAAGTTAGTCGTATACTGAAATTAAACATCTAAAACAGTTTAATACATTTTCAAAGCTGGATGTGTTAATTTTAAAGAACAGAGGTAGATATTAATCATGTGATTATTTTTGTGTGATTTTCTAACAATACTTTTGTACTGCTTATTAATTTCCCGTGGTTTTCGGAATCTGTACAAGCTGCATTACTACATTAAGGGAGAGAAGCTTTGAGTTAAAATGAGTTGAACTGTGGCTGGCTACTTGTTCAGACTGTGATCACACACAGTTTATTTATTTATTGTGTTTCCGATTAGAATATTGGGAAGTTGCTTATGCACAGAAAATATGACACTATTGCAAACATTTGCTTCCTCCGTGTGTAGCATGACTGCAGGGCTTTTCCTGCTTATGAAATTTTCGAGCACCAAAGAGCTTTGGTTTTTGCCCAGAGAAAAATCACCAGGACTGAGTTTTTATGTAGGTGGGGTTACTTTTACTCATGAGCCTTTACCCATATGCCAAAAAATAACAGCAGAAGTTACACAGCCATAAGTATATGTGTTCACTCATTAGTGGCGTGGTTCTTTTAGACCGAGGAAAAACCCTGGATTTTCTGCCATTGATCTGATTGACTGCATCCATTGTCAGTTTTTAACTATGCATAAGCTGGAGCCCACTCACCCTCCCATTGCTGATCACTGCACACTGTCCAGGATTGAGTTTCAGTACGTCTTGACAGAATAACTGCTGAGTGCGGATAAAATCAACTTCAAGGGTGTTGAATTTTTTCTCAAAGGCATCCATATCCATGCCCTACAGCAGAAAAACAAAAGTTTGTTTACAATGTCAGATAAATTGATTGCATCGCTGGCTGGCTAAGAATATGTGATGTAATCCATAGTTTGTGGTCAACTGAAATATCCAATAACGCAGCTGAAAGACATTTCTCTCATTTCAGCCTGTCCAAAAATATAAAGAGTGATGCATTGACATAAAAATGATGTATGTGAGACAAAAAAAATAAAAATTATTCACAGAATCATTGATGCCTCGCATCAGCACAATCACTGCAGTTTTCAAACATAAAATATTTCAGCCAGACCTGTCAGAAACGCACATGTGTGAAAATGAGATTAATCAATTTGTAATTAATATAACAAACTCCTAATTAAACCCCTGCCAGTTTTGTCTATAACAAATTAGGTTGGGGAGTGTGGAGGGTTTGTGGAGTCAGGTTATTAGTTTCTCCAACATTTCTCTCCTCAGGAGAACAGGTGAAATACCAATAATGTCAGCACAATCCAGTCAGCAAGTCTGTCTGGCAGCCAATAATAAACTCATATCCCTTGGCTTTGGGTCTCAAGTCACACTGCTACATCCTACCTATCACCCCATCTCTATTTCCAGCCTATTCTCTCCCAATTGTGAAAGGCTAGTATAACTGAGGGGAACTTCATTATAGTAGGTCCTAAATAAAAAACAAACAAACTACACAATCTACTGCATAACTGATGGTGAATATACTCCATCAGCTGATTTGTTGATTAGTGGCTGAGAATTTGCTTGCGTATGCACAGTCCTTTGTGGGTGGTTACTGCGCATTACAGCATGAAGACGGGAGAATGATTTAGTTCTGCCTTAAAGCAGCAGTGATGGTCAGGCTTGGCTGAAAACATGTGGATCACATAACCAGAAGCTGTGAGCAGTTGGCTATTTATCAGCTTCGGGAGACCATGTTTACACCAGCACATTTTAGTTAAAGATTCATAGCGTGTTGCAGTCTTTCAATGGCCTCAGTGACATTTCAAGTGGAACTGACAGTGAGCAGGCTGTTTGCCTGGGTGTCCAAGGAGTGTGGAGTATCATGCGTGCTGTAAATGCATTCCGTGAGTTGATGTTGAGGAGAGAGATAAGAGAATGGGCTCATCAATCACTATTTTCCTGACTGCGCACTTTTTCTCCTTTTACCTCCATTAAACCATTTACCTAATCAAATATATTATTAAATACTTATCAGTTATATCAGAGCAAAGCAACTTTCTTACCAAGTGATGCACTTGGTATGAAACTGAAGTTTTTTCTTTGGACAAGTAAACTTTGATAAGGTAGCCATGCACAAGATTCAAGTTAATCTAACTTTTGTGTGTCTAAAATAGATAGCGTTCCAACAGTTTTAACTGCTGTCTACTTTATAAATGCACACGGATTGCCAGCATCTTGCCATCAATCTGAATAAGTCTTTGTCAATGACTCAACTCAATTCAGGTCATATTCTTGTTATATTCCTATAGAACAGGAAGGGTGCTGAACACAAATGTAATAGTTATATGTAATAGTTAACAGGCAGCAAAAGATATATACCGTAATTGTCGGGCTATAAGCCGCTACTTTTTGCACAAGCTTTGAACCCTGCGGCTTTTAGTCAGGTGCGGCTTTTCTATGGATTATCCATGATTTTTGTCATATCGTAAGACGATTTGTTTTGTTTGTTCCGCTGTTGTACGGCACTACGTTGCCTGGCGGAAGGGCATGTGATCAGACACACAGTATCGGGGTTCAAGAGTGGTATGTTGGTCACATGTCCATCTGCCAGGCAACATAGTGCCGTACAAGTAGCGCTACACGTTCAGCGGGAGTCGTGGATGACGAGCGGCAATAAACTTGCGAAAAGCAAGTCATGCTCAACTCCACCGGTGGAATCTGACAGCGTGGAAAAGTGTGAAAACATCCACGATCACCAACGGATTTCGAAGGGCTGGACTGCAGCATGATGGAGAGGAGGACGGCCCTTCAGAGGGTGTTCGACTCTGACACTGACAACGAGGATTTGTTTGGTTTTGAAAGTGACAACGAAGGAAGGAAGCTGAGAGTGGATGACGAAGCCATCCTGAGCCTGTTCGTATCCGACACTGGAGAAGAGGACTTTGGTGGTTTCAGTGCGCAGGAAGAAGAGAAAGATGGTGGTGAATGACTGACTTTTCTTCTTGTTAAAGCCGTGTCACTGCACCTGAGCCTAAAAGGTAGTCCGAATCTATTTTTCTGGTGTGCTGTAGGTTATTGTTATGTACTACATTTGTTACTCATTTATGAAGCACAGTACATGTTTCGTACTTGTAATTACCGCTACTTTTACATATACCTAAAAAGCTGTGCAAATATGTACCCATAACTTGTTTTTCAAAATATTAATAAAAGGGGTGTGTCTCCAAACAGCCATCTCTTTCCTGACAATTCCCTTTGTGCATATTCTCTTACATATGATAAGTCAACATTGAAACACCTGCGGCTTTTAGTCAGGTGCGGCTAATGTATGTACAAAACAGGATTTCCCCCTGATTTTAGCTTGTGCGGCTAATATTCAGGTGCGCTTTGTAGTCCGGGAAATACGATAGATATACAATTTTCAACAATTTATCACAATTATTCCCAGGTTTATTATCAGAGATAGATTGTATGAAACTGCCAATTTGATCCCAGTCGATCACAGACTGATATCCGACTGACTCCATCTTATGCCAAGATTTATGGCCGGTTTTAATGACAGCGTTCCTATGCTTGACAATCTTATTGTGCAACAAAAAAATAACTGCAATAACTTTATCTTACAGAATAAAATAAATATTTGACAAAGATTAACTTTGAGGACATAGTTTCCAGTTAAAAAAGGTGACAAATTAAAATGTGCGTTATTGGAGCACTGATAATATTGGAAAATGTTATAAATCACAATATCATATTGTGGGTGAAATATTGCGATAATATAATATCACATGGTGTCTGGTGATTCCCATCTCTACTAAACATCAGCATGAATATAACGCATCCAAAATATATAGATGGGTGGACTGTTGGCAGCTATACATCTAATCTATGTCTAAATTTGGAAATAGTTGGATTAAAACAAACACCTATTTGATCAAATAAAAACTCAAAGTAAAAAAAAAAGGAGCAGTGAAAAAAACAAGCTCTTATATTAGATTTTCCTCTTTCAAGGTTTGCTACCTTCAAGGTAAAAGTCAAATCATGTGGTTACAATATGATTTAAAGTAGTGATTCTAATATAAAAGAATATATATATATATAAAGTCCAAACAAAATATGTGTAGTCTGAAAAGAAAAGAAAAGAAAAGAGCATTCTTTAATCCCCTCTTTACCTGCATCAGTAAGTCTTTCATCTTGGTCCCCTGCTGGAGGAGCTGGCTGCTCTCCTCTTTTAGGAGTTTATGCACAAACTCTGCCGCAGCCTTATTCTTCTGGGTGAGGAGAGAGGCCCAGATAGCCCTGTACAGCACAGTGTTATCGTCGTAGGGTTTTTCACTGGGGTTATCTATCACCCCCACACGCACTCCAGGACTGGCCTTCTGCTTGCACACACAAGCGCACACACATATAAACATAACGGCACTATAATTCACAGTAATAGCAGACATGCTCATATATCCAGCTACCACATATGTCACTGATGAAGAGCTCTCAAAAAATACTGCTTTAAAGTAAAGATCTCACCTTTTCAACCTAATCTACTACTAATGATCTCTAAATGACAAAAAGAACATTTCCTTTATTACGTTATTCATCTGTAGAATATCACCACAACATATTTCAGTTAAGACGAATCTACACTGATGATTTTTTGTGAGAGCACACAGCAGAAAATGACATTTTAATTATAGTTTTTGTTATGAACCTGCCATGATAATCACCACCAAAACCATTTCAGAGTTCTGCATCCCTTCCACTTCTATTTGATTTTTTTTAGTGCACAAGTTTTGTTGCTTTAAGGATAAGTTAGAGTATTAGATTTATCTGTTACGCCTTCTAAGATGTCCTGTGTACATCCTAAATGATAACATAAATTAAAGAAGTGAAAAGAACAGTATTGATTTTACTTACCAGGTGTTTCAGAGCACTGAGCAAGAGTTTTCGTCCTGACACCTTCTGAAAATCCCCAACTACCCACAGAGTTACAGGAGTCATCCCATCCTCATCTGAGGTAAAAGAGTAAAATCTTTATAGAATAATGTGTACAATACAAATAAGAGCCATTACTGCCATTACTGTAAACCATTCTAAACTCAGACTCTACTTTATATTCTTTAGCTTTCTAATCGTAAGTCTCCTGTTATCCCCAAGAGCAGTCTATTTTGGTTGTTTCTAGTGTCCTGTTCTTCCCTGTTCTTCAGCTGCAGCAGTCTGTTCTCTCTTCGAGTGTAAGGTGTAGCAGCTTCAACCATGTCTGACTCTTCTTCTTCACAAGTTGTTTTGCTCACAGAAGTGTCGCAGATTTTTTGTTTGTTTTGTTTTTGTACCACTAGGGACTGTTTTTCATTAAATCCCAGGAGAACAGCGGGTTTTTTGTTTTTTTCATTTTTAGATATTCCGATTTGGCACCAACTAAAGGCACTTAGATCCCATGTGTTTCTCATTCTAATGTTTGGTTAACATAACATTTTGGCCACGTTTGTGCGCTTTTATGTACTGAGGTGCAGCATTAATGGGATAGTATGCAGGTGCAGCTGATTAGTTAGCCACAGCAAGTATAATCACTTCACCAGTAGAGGACAAATTTATTTATGAAGAATTCAATCTCTCAATGTTGACCTAAATGTTTACACAGCTTTCAAAGACAGTGTCTTGTAAAAGGTCCTACTCTGTCTATACACTGATAATCACATGACATTGAGAGGGGAATGAAATGTAGTTATTATAGTGAATGTTTAGTTTGTGTCAGAGGTGAGAGAGACTAAGACATCTGTCACATATTATAGAAGAACCTTGCCACCTGTCATGGTTATATTCCCGCCCCGGCCAGTCAGCCAGTCCTTCAGAAAAGCAGGCAGTTGGCCCGACAGCTACTCCACAGAGAGAGAATGGCAATCAGCCTCCTCTGAAACACTGCAGCTAGACTCTGGGCCCGAGCAGCGAAATGCAGCTCTGATGACCATTTAGACTGCTGGCCAAAAGCCAGTCAGAAGACCCAGCAATGATTTTGCTGGAGGCACAGCCTGCCAGCCCTAATAAAACCCAGTTTCATATTTCCATACATCAGCAAAGCAGTGTGGGATTCAATTTGTTTATAACAAAAATGCTAATTTTACAGATACACCTTATATTAATGTAGAGTAGTTATTCCAGTTTATACAGCATTATGTTTCTAAATATGAGATTTCATCTGAAATAGTGTTTACTGGGAAAGCAAACCAAAAAGAAGTGACTTCTTACCACTATTTGTGAAGTACTTCATTCTCTTAGCAATCACTGCCGTTTTGTCTCTGGTGTCCACATAAGAAAACATATATGTGTCTTCCCAATCATCTGCAACTGCATATAAAGGAAAGTATAACATAAGAGGAATGTAAACAGTGGCATCCATATTTTATGGCATAGAACAAGGAGCACCTGGAGTGGCTGTGAGGTCAAGGTACTTTCGGTCACTGCTTAAAATAAGAGGGTTCATCCTGGGAACCACATTGGCCTGTTCCATTAGATAGTCTACCACATCTGAGCCTTCAGATAACTGGCCCTATAAGGTGAAGGACATAAAGTGTGTTAGTTACATAACTGACAGCATGAACAAATTGCCACCGGTGCAGTTCCCCAGTGCTTGAGTACTTCAGTTCACTCATGTCTGGGTTTTTCCTGACTCAAAGTGGGCCTTTGGGAAATGAATCATTATTGGTCCACATATAATTAAGGTAATGAGTACGCATTGCTTTACTTAACAGAAGTCTTATGAATTTCCCTCTCATTTCTTCCCATTTGAAAATTAAAACTGTATTTTGTCACTCAGTAAATTAATCTCCATTCAAAGAAAACTCTTTAAAAAGATGTTTTAATGACATTGCTGCTAATTTTGGTCAGATTTTCTTTCATATGCAGGACAAACCTGCCTATATATGAATGTAAAAATTTCACCTCTCATTACAACAACAAGACAAAAAAAAACACATTGGTTTCATAGGCTGAATATGAAGAGTGAGTCTCGTTTCATGCATATGCATCATACCATAAAGACGGCTCTTTGAAAGGCAGTAGTGGTGTCCATTATGCGCTGAAGGATGACTGTTTCCAGCTCCTCTGGGTCCATCTCATCAGGGCTCAAAGGGACTCCATTAAATAAAGCCAAAGGCAGGGCACCTAAGCCACTCTTTTTGTAGAAGAGCGCACCATCCTACAGCCAACAAAAGTTAAAATCAGACCTGCTGCTCTTCATCAATCATACGTTATTACTTTTACTTTCAATTAACAAAAAAACATCTTACCTTCCTTTTATCATCATACTCTGATTCAACTCCTAGAATCCTTTCAGAATTGGCTTTTGGGAATTTTCTCTTTAGGTAAGCAGTGATTGTATCAGCAGAGAGCGTCTCCCCTACATCGACTTTGCTATACAGCTGCAAGAGAGTAGCAAGGAAGTTCAGACTTGACCATCACTCTCTTCGGATCCCTCTCAGTGTCAGTACTTTCCACCGCAATTTTAAAAAGCAGATAGCTGAGGAAAAATACCACTGACTCATCTATTTCAACAATGTCTCAAACTGTAGGATAACACAAGTAAAATATTATGCAACTGATTTCCTAGGCACGCAGAGATATGAGCTGGCAAGAAACACTTGCTAAAACAACAGAGATTTATATATGCGATATACTTACTGAGACCACAGACATCAGAGCCTGGGGTAAATCATACTCGTCTGCAATGTAATTCAGCAGTCGGTAAAATCCAACCCCTGCATCTGAGAAGCCATCAATCTCATCTTTGGTGTTGACAACAAACACAAATCCAATTCTGTACAAACGGGACAAAACAAGTATTCAATTTGCAGGTGAAATGAGAATCACTACCAGGTAAAGATTATGAATGCCAAGAGCGGACCATATAAACAGCTGTGGAGGTGTGAAAAATTGCAGCATCTACCTCAGGGGGATCTTATGCTTGTAGAAAAGCTCTGCTAGCTTCACGAGCTCACCACTTTCTTCCTGCAGTGGATCTAAGAACAGCACCTAACAGCAGAGGTATCGTTATCAACCCCTGGTCGTAAAGCTTTGCAAACAACTGTGTGCCAACCTGACTTACACATGAAGCAAACTTTAGAAAAAAACAAATCAAAAACCAACACATCAGCAAGTTGAACCCAGACAAACTAGAAAAACAGAGGCAGTGATTTAAATTTTTTATTTTGTCTGACAAATCCTAGGACATGTACAATTTAAATGTATAATAAAGACCTGTCTCAGCTCCATTTCCTTTATTACCCACACCACTGTTTTTTCTTTATTGCATTAATGCAGTGTAAACAAATAGGAAATGCAAAGTCCAGCTGACTAGTACTCAAACCATTTGTGAATTTACTGGCTTGTCTCTCACTTGGTACTTCACTTGTTCTGATAAACTCACCAGGTTAAAGAAATTGCGTCTGATCTGCCGGATGACTCCGGGAAAGGTGGCTCTGAGGAGCTCCTGTACACCAGTTGGCCAGCTTCGGTACATTAGGTCATTCTCAATGTCATTTATCCACTAAAATGTACAGGTACAGGGCGCAGAAGAGTTAGTGGGAAAATATTCACTAGTTAATAATAACAGTAATCCCAAAGGTGCAGCCAAAATATGAAAAATAACAGAGGGATTAAATATTTAATGCATGAACAGTTCAGACTTCCTCTCTGGTTGTCATATGTAAGAATTTAGAGACATTTCATTTAGGAATGTGGAATTTTATAGATATATACACTTGAAATTTGCCCAAGGACACAACGACCGAGACTGTCCAAGCCGGGGCTCGAACCGGCAACCTTCCGATTACAAGGCGAACTCCCAACTCTTGAGCCACGATTGCCCTATGTTCTATTTCACAATATTAAAGAAAGTGATCTAGAGCTGTGAAATTTATTGGGTTACTCCTTTTCCCACATTTAAATTCAGCTTAGTAGTTTTGTGTAATCTTGTTGAAAAACAAACAAATGGCACCAATCATGCAACACGTCCTCCTCAGCAGAGGAATTATATACATGCAAATAAAGCAAGTAGAATGCCAGTGAAGCTGGCTAGTTTTGATGCATAACGATCCATCTGGCAATAATACTGGTCTTTCTCTGTGTAACTATGAAGCCTCACCAGCAGACTATCAGCAGGGGAAATGCAAGTTGACAAATATTTTGGTTGAGGGTGGACAGGCTTAATATCGTCATATATTTCTGACATTTTTATAGTACTTAATGTAATAAAATTGCCAGAGGCATCAAATGAAAACTTGCAAGTTTTTAATTTAATAACATTTCTTGGCTAACTTCCAACTTAATAACTTCCAAATAAATGAGGTTCCTGGATAGCTTCAGATTGTTGCAATAGGCCGATGACTGCTCTACTAATTTCTTACTTTAGGATCCCTAAACAAGAACACGTGTGTTGATCTGGGAATATAGTCCTTTTAGACATCACTTACCATTATGGCTGGGTGTCTGATATCTAAGGCATAACTGTCATCCACAGCATTCACAGGTAATCTCAGCAGCTTATCTTGATGTTCTCCTTTTATGCCTAGATTATGTAGACCCTCTAAGACCTTGGCCTCTGACTTAAGTATGTCCAAGATGCTGAAAGTGCAAAATGATGTGTTAGTCTTTGATTCCATCTGTGTGTCAGTATATATGCATTGCATCAAATGCTTTACTTCTATCAGAGAGTGTCTTTTATTAATGCAATTTATTGTGTCCTTACTTTAAAACATATTATTTTGTTTATAACAAGTGACATTCACTACAAGTGGTAGTTATTATGCAATATTTCTATCAGGAAAAACATGAAAAATATAGCCCCAGCCAGATACATTAAACCAGATATTCATTCATTGATGAATATCTGGTTGATATAATCATATATTATATCTGTGGTATTGAAAGCAATATTCAATATACCATGATGGAAAATGTTTTCTTTGTCCACAAAATATAAGTCAGAGAAGCCCTGGACTTTTATCTTGCTAACACCATTAAAAAAGTAATTCAGCCAGAGCCAAGGAGACGACCAGCTAAAAGAAGAAGACAGCACTCTTTGTGAGTGAGAAGGATGGGTTATTCTGTCCAAGAGGAAAAAAAGGTGGAGCTGGCATTCATGTATCCATATTGTGGAAAATGACAATTCAAACCACATCAAATATTAGGATTTAATACATATTGAAAACTTAAAATTACTACAGCAAGTCATGATCGTATTGCACAAAGATCACCCTAGGTCTGGCGCTTCCAGGGGGGAGCACAGGCATATGACTGTACCTTCCTGCTGTGTTCCTACCTGAAGGGATTGTGAATGTCCAGATCAATGTGCAGCCCGTTGATGAAGAGCTCACCGTCTCCTGGGTGAACACCAATGGTCTCACTGAGGTGCTGAAAGAACAAGCTCAAAGTGTTAGTTGAATCCCAAAAGCCCTAAATGATTGATTCTAACATTAATGTCTGATCTTTTCACATGAAACGATGTGCACTGAGACTACAGAAACAAGTAAGGGTAGTAAGAGAGTAGGAGAAAAGCAAAAATAAAATGTCAAATTTATTGTGAAATTTATATGACACAGAGATTAGAAACTGATTCTCTAAAATAGAATGTGTGCAATGGCAACAGATATTATCAAAGACAGCAACTACGCTATGATATCGCACCTTTTGGTTCTCCTCAATTTCTTTTCTCATTTCCTGCTTTATAGCCACTCTTGTCAGTGATCTGTGGGAACAGTAAAACATGTACAGTCACCATCAGCTTTTACCGCATCCCCAGCCGGCAGTAAAATGCCAGTTTTAATTTCCAAAAACCTGTGGGTCCTCAAGATGGTGCGTTTGCAGTCAATTCCCTGTAAACACCCGACTCTTACTCAGCACTTTTTGAAGTTATTACAAGCTGCCGGTACCAAAATAAGCAAACATCTTTTAAAAAAGCTGATTAGATCCCTGTACAACAAATTATCTACATTCATTGCAGGGTTACAAATTGTCACAGAAAGGAGTAATAATGCTCAAATAAATGGGGCTATAAAAGGTATACTTTATGTGCACTTTAAGAACAGCATTTGTTTGGCCAAGATTCATACAGGGCAGGGCTTTGACAGGAATTGTGAAACCACATAAAACGTGTTAACCATTGAGCAAGAAAAAAAATAAAATAGGATGAATTTTCTTACCTGGCTTTGCTTGGAAAGTTCTGACTGAGATCTCGCAAGAGCTTTAAAGCATCAAACTTTGGTGCAGACATGATTCTAGAAGCTGCCTGGAAACTCAAATCTACATAGATCGAACAAAAGAAATGATCAACATTTATACATCTATGAATGCAAAGGTAAAGTCAAAGGTGGCTATTAGCTTTTCAAGCTCTATTTTCTTTTAAATACATAACACTAGAAGGGGCACCTGCACAACTTAAGTGTATTTCCTATGCAGATGCAATAATCTACACAGCTGCATTCTCTTCTCTGCCACAGGCTCCAGACGACCCTTCAAGAACTGCAAGCCTCATTGTAACATTTGGCTAAAATTGTTACGAAAACTCACTGAATACTCAGTGTATGCAGACCGTTAAGGGGCATTTAAAAAGAAAGAGCACGGCAGCAATGTAGCAGCAAACGAATGCCTATTAAATTTAGCGATGGCAGCTGTGTAGCACAATGTATATTTTCGGTGGTTACACCTTTAGCACTCATTCTCTGCAGAGCTGCATTAAATACAGGAAGGTAGTGAGCTTTTATTTTAAGAGTGTGTCTTCAGCTTATAGATCAGCACAGTGTTGTGAAAACTCACATTGTTCAGTGAGATTGTGCACCATGGGCTGTTGCACATTTACAGAATACAGTTAACTGTCAGGACCATCAAAATAAAAATGGTAGGCACTCGGACATCCACTCAGAGCCTCATGCTCACCGTCTGATGACAAAACTCACATCCCTCAGACCCATACAATATCAACCCTGTAAGTTTCCAAAGCAGAGCTCCACTCACAAATGCACCATTTTCACACTGCTTTCATTGTAGCTGCTGTTTATAGTGCAATGTGACAACATCCACGCCATGAGCAGTTCCACATATGTTGTGGACTTATTGCAGCCAAGCAATTGCCACCTACCAATGAGTACTTTATAATCAGATTTCTTGGCCCTTATTAAGTTTAATGTGACATTAGCAGCGGTACATATTTTTACGCAGAAATAATGTTAAACTCCCTCTCTCCCCTTATGATATTGCTTCTGTAGATCACTGCTCTACAGGGTACCCAAGATATATTCAGAACTTGGTAGAACAGCCTTCTTTGATTTTATGACCGGGTCACGAAGTAACCTTCAAAACACACTAAGGCTCAATAATTTTCTCTCCTTGGGGGAACTTGAAACGCTGATTTTAAAAAAAAAACTGCAAGTAAAAAGCTGGATTTTACTCCATGTATCTGCAGTCCTTTCCTTGTTTTAATGTGTCCCAGGTTGGCTTTTTTGTGATTTTACAATTTTTGTAACCTTGCAATGCTGTGCTTTCTTGGCCAAGACTCCCTTGAAAAACTGTTTTTTAATCACAATGTATGATTACTTCCTGGGTAAATAAATATTACATTAAAAAATAAAAAGTAAAATAAACCTCACCTGCACTTCATCAGTAATAAAACATACACAGTGAAGGCCTCACCTTTGATCCTCTTTTCAGTTTCAATAAATCTAAGCTTTTTCTTAGTGCATGATAATAGCAAATGCAGACAGACATTGAAAAATATCCTCAAACTGTTGTCAACAGCACTGAAAGGAAAAAAAACTGATACCTTGCATTTCCCACACTTTGAGAGGGGCCATGTCATTGGTACTCTCAAGAAGATGTTTGCGAAGCTCAACAAGATGCTCCTGGAGTTCAGGATGAGATTTCCTTAAGAGAGATAAAAGAAAAACAGAAAGACACGATACAAGGTGAAGATTTCTTTTTGACTCCTAATCAAGTGGTGTCAAATACACAATGACAAAAACAACAGAAAAATAAACGATTAAAACATCTTTAGGACTGATAATATATTACTTACTTTAATGTCCCAAAAAAGAATCCTTGGACTTCATCATTATCATCATCCTCCACATTTATAACCGTCTTTGAATCTATAAAGCAAGAGATTCGTGTTTACTTGCCTGAGAAACAGAGTTCAACACACAATGCTGGATAAATCACTAACTGACCTTTTACTTCAGTGTCATCCACAGCTTTGTATTCTGTGCTTTTGATAGCCAACTCAACACCATACCCAGATAAAAGCATCTTTTGAGGCTTTGGATTCTGTATCAAATAAAAGCAAAGTAATGTAAAACAGTGCAGAGTTGAATCTGAATTAGAGCTCTATACAGAAGATACTTTCTGCCTATATGTACCCACTATACTCTATGTGAACAAAACTACATTCAAACACATTTGAAGTAGAATGCATCACACTGGGTGAGTTTTGGCTTGAGACTGTCGCTGGATGCCATCTTTGTAATAATTTTTTTCCCCTGGTCAACTATAACTGGAGTTATGAAGTGGAAAATGTCTCGAAGCAACAACGGTTTAGCCACAACAGAACACGCTGACACTAGTGACACGCTGACTAGTGCTGACACATTATAAACTTCCTATAGAAGTGAGAGATAATGACAGCACAAAGATCACCCTGGCTTTACAGCCAGAATCGATGTAAAGTACGTCTCCTAATTACATTTGTTTTTGTTCAGTTTGTTTCAGCATGGCACATCTTTAAGCCCATATCTAGGTGCCCACATACCTGTGGCAAAACATGTTGCCTTTTTATAGATTTTTCAAGACTACAGTCAGTGAAAGTTATAGACTATGAAACAGTTTACCTGTGGGAACAAAAAGCACACAAACTGACACGTACAGCAGCAGATACACTGACATTCAACCTTGACACCTGTGTCACCCAGACACTGCTTCAATCTTTCACAAGCGTAACGAGGAAGCTTCCACACCTACACACCGCTTTTCTTCAAGAAAAGCACATTTCCTACTTTCAAAGGCATCTGTTTGTCAGTTAGTTTTTAGAAATCTGTTAATTCTACCTCTGAACATTGGTCAGTCATACGTGTTGTTCAGCAGTGTCCATTTGATCAGGAAAAACTATGAGGAACAACATTTTTTTTCATGACAGAAAATATAAGTAATGGATAAAAAGACTGTTTACAGTAAAGTGTTAACTTTTTCTGGCCATCTTTCATCATGAAATTTGGCTTGTTTTTTTGGGGTTCTTTTTGCAAAATCCTGCTAGGAGTCAAACTTCAGTGAAAACATAACCTCTGTGACAGAGTTAATTTAAAAAGAAGGATAGACAAAACAGCAGCGACAAACAACAAACATGCAGTCGGCACTCTAGCTTTAATTTTTTTAAAAAGCTAATCGAATGCTACTAATGGAACAACTGCTAACACATCACAGAAGATTTGAAGCCAGGGTTCCATTTTCTTTTGAATCAGATATCTTTCCTGTATGACTTATCACCTAATGAAGTAGCCCTCCAACATGTTCACCAAATAAATACGCTTTGACAAATGACACTGATGTTGAACAATTTAGCGTCTTTTTTCTAAGCTCAGATGGAAAACAGGATTTATGTGAACAACAACAAGTGAATCTGGGTTTGTTTTTTTTTTTATGGCATTGCTCCTCTTTAGTGGACAAAACACATTGCTGTGATATTGCTCATGTTAATCAAGGAGAAACCTCTGAGGCAAAGACAAAATTTCTAAGATCTCCAGTTCCTCGAGTGACTAATTCAGGCTGTCTACAAAAGCAAGCATCCCCATAAATTCCCATGTTATAATTTCCAACTTTATAGCATTAAAAAGCTTATTCAGGTGTTGCAGTAGTTATCACTTTTGCTTCACAGCAACAACGTCCTGGCTTTGAATCCAGTAACTGACTAGGGGCCTTTCTGAGTGGAGTTTCCCCCCATACTTGTGTGGGTTCTTTTCAGGTACTCCAACTTCCACCTGCAGTCCAATGACATGCATGTGTTAGGTTAATAATGGCAGTTCTAAATTGGCTGTAGTTGTGAATGTGAGTGAATAGTTGTCTGTTTCTCTGTCTTAGCCAGGGCGTTCACTGCCTTTCACTCCATGATAGCTTGAATAGGCTCCAGCCTTCCAAGACCCTGAACTGGATAAGCTCAGCAGCATGGATAGATGGATTAATTTACAGTCTGATAAAAACAAAATGGTTTATGACTCTATGGATACCTTCCCACTTTATAAAAACTCTGATGAAGGAGATTTTTTATAACTCATCCACCTAGATGCTAGAGTTAGGAGTGTGTCTAGACATAAGCAGCTGGAGCTGATGGGTGTCTTTAGGCCTCACCTCCAGTACTTCCAGTTATTAGACTTTTTTACTGTGTGGAGATGGTGTATAATTAATTCTCAGGCTTATGTTAATTGCTTGCTGTGTGGTACAGACCATCCAAGAGGTTTGTGCTTCAGTTTTGGAAAGTGAAATTCTATTATTGTACTAATCTGTTACCTGCCACAATAATGTGTGTATCTGTGTATTGCACCCACACAGTTTGCCAGCACGGGATCCAGCTTGCCTACCAAACTATCAAGCATTGGCTGACAACTTAGCACCTTACCCTTTCACCTGAATAAGTTAGCTTCTGGATCCAAAAAACCCACATTGCAGCAGCTAAAACAAACTTCAAAACACAGAATTCAAAACTATTCAGTGGCTGCTGTGGGTACTTCTATTTCTTTATGCTGTCTTTGATGCTAAAAGTGTAAAGTGTAAAGTGTGCATGTTAGTCCCCATAGGGAAATAGTTCCTCTGCATTTAACCCATTCACCCAGTGAAGCAGCTAATTCTAAGTAAGCAGGATGAACTATGTTTGAGCGATAGCAGTGCTGTTCAAACACAGTTTCCTTAAAGAGATTTACTAAAGAGAAGTTTCCTGTTGTATCACTGATTAGCAGTAATCAGTAATCATGAGAAAAAAAATATACACAAAGATGGCATCAATGTTTTATTTTAATTTCACTGCTGGAAATGAATCTAATTTACTTCTTTTTAAAGACAATAATTAAACAAAAAGAAGTCTGTTAAAATTAATTCTACCAAAACAGCAGAGAGCAAAAGTCAAACTTTATTCGTCACTGTTGCTCTGATAACACTAGTTCATCAGTAATTTCAAAGTTCATTTAGAATTTTGTTTTTATTCTCTACAATTAACCACGTCTACAAAAATATTTATATATATTAATAATAATTAATAAGTGGAATGTAAGTGAGAGTTAAGGCAAAGCAGTGGGGGGAGGAGGGTATATTTCTACTCACCGCTACAAAATGACGCAGCACATATGTAAGTGTGCCCTTTTCAGCTTTCTCTGACAGTGCCTTGTGAAAAGAGGTGAACTTCTTTGTTCCAATCTCTGCATACAAGATCACAACTGGCACATCTGTTATATTGACCCCTGGATATGTGTGATCGTTCTTGTATAAATATGGTTTTGGCCTGTGAACATTTGGAAAATGTGGTTAAAGATATCCCAGAGCTAAACATTGATAGGTGAAAGCATCAAATATTAAAAACACAATTTTAAAAAGTTTCAAATAACTACATACATAAATTCAAACTTCCATGTTACCTGCCTGCAGCTGCCTTAAGGAGCTTCTTGATGTCCTTGGTGCTGCAGCTGTGTTGCCCATGGATGGAGACAAAGGCTGGGCAAGCCTCAGGCGGAGGCTCATCTTTGGCTATCTGTTATGAACAGAAGGAAGAAAAAAAATGTTTGGTAAAGTAATGGCTACAACATAACCTTACTAAAGCCAGGGTTTGCTGGTTTGGTCCCCACCTGAATTACTCGTTTTAAAATACATGTGATTATAACACGACCACTTCTCTACTTTTGAGGTTAGGCATAAAAGTTTTATTTTGATAAAAGTGTTTAGTTAGGGTTGGATCAGTTGAGCCCTTAGTGCGCTGAGCTTGTCTTTTCCAGTCTCCTCTGTTTTTAAACCCCCTCATTTCCCACTTCTGAAATTCATACAGAGAATGTTCTTCTACTTTTTCTTTTCATTTTTGTGTTGTTTTGTTTGTTTTTCATCATACTTTCTGTGACCCCCCAGTGGAGGGCTGCCACGCCGTGAGCTTGGCTCTCCCAGGGTGGGAACAGTTCTTCCTCCGCAACACTGCTAGGTGCTTGCCTGTAGAGGATTGCCTGGATTGCCTTGAAATGACTGAGTTTTAAACTGGATCTGTACAAATTAAACTGAACTGAGCTGAAAATATTACTTTATAACACTTTGATCAGAACATACCTGCTGGGATGCATGAACAGCTGGTGAATAGGAGCGCAGGGCAAGAGCAAATTTGAGAAGATTAACTTGAAGATCTGTGAGGAACTGTCCGGCTTTCTTAATGATCAAGTTGTAGTACGAGCGCACCGACTCTGTAGAATAAACAGTGGTGGGACAAAAACTCAAAACTCAGTTCAATGAGTTATACCTCTTCATATAAAAGTAATAGTTTAATGTAAAAATAGACATACCTCCGTGCTTGTATACAGTAAGTTCTTTTACAGTGTCGACAAACTGCCAGAATTTCTCATTCCCATCTTCTCCAATAAATTCGCTGCACATGAAAATACGTAAGTATAATAAGCAAACATTATTTTGCTCCTCAGCAGTTAAAACTACAGACCACCAAAATCATTCATTTCTGGAAGTAACTGTGCACATATCCACTGTAACTCATCATTAAACAAGATAAAGGATCAAGTTTTTTACTACGGCTATTTAAACACACAATCCAATTATATACGAAGATTTCTACAAGGTTACCAAAGAGATTGGTAAAACTAACACTGATGATAAAATCATCACAGACTATTTTGAAACAGGAGAGGCCACAAAGAAGGATGCAACAGAGAAGACAGACATTCCAGCTTTAAGCGTATCAACTTTACCAGAAGTACACCAACAGGGATACAGCGAAGTTATATTTTAAGGTGATTTAAAAAAGTTAAAGGCAGTAAAATTACATTAAATCAATAAATAACCAGTATAAAAATCTGAATAACCTTCCAAGAGTAATAAAGCAGAACGTTTTTGTGGTGATTTTTTACATAAGTGTCCTTCAGAAATCATAATAAGGCAACTCATAACATAAACAAAGTGATGTTTATATTTGGTCCCCATGAAAACGGCCTTGCTTGGTGACGCTTGTGATTTAATTTGAAAGATAAATGGTTCTGTGCTGAATAATAAATAATAATATAAATGTGAGAATTAAGGTTTTCTAAATGTTCCAGCACTGTTTTCTACTGTGATAAACACAGTGAAATAACTTCTGTCTATTACTTAAAGTCTATTGTAAATGGACAGAATGCACTTTTTAAATTGTTAGGTCTGTGATGGGATTAATCATTCTGGATGATGGCTGTCAATATAACGAGACTGATTTTTCCACAAATGATATTCTGTTTTAGTTTAGCTACAATGTAACACAAGAAAGTCTTTCAAAAAAGCTAAATGATGGTAAACTACAATGTATTTATGACCATGAGCACAGTTACCGTGGAGAACATTGAGGCTGTGACCTTTATCTGGTAATACAATATACTATTATAAATCCTTAATTGCAGTGATATTAAACAAAGCAAAAACAAACCAAAAAAAAAGAAGTAGGAAAGGGAGAATAGAGTTTCCTAGTAATATTCGTGGAACTTTCAGCCCAAGGTTGGCTGAATCACCAAAGTTAGAGCTATTATCCATCAGTCTGCAAGGAAAGATTTGGTGAAGGTTTTGGTTACGAAAACATCAGTGTTGATGTAAGAAGTTAAAGAATTAGTATTGGATAAATAAATAAATGCATTAATGAATAGCAATCAGTAACTACTTTAATACTAAATAAATAATTTCAGTTTGCTTTCAGGTGAATGCAGTGCAAAAATAGAAATCATTCAATATTTCTAGTCTCTGGTCCTGACCTGTCTCTGGGAAGTGTAATGAGATTTTATTTTCTGTTTAGGACATTTAAAGATTAAAATACAAACCGCGGATTAATAAAAGATCAAAGCAGTGCATTTAGGAGGAGGGGCACCTGGCTGTGCCCCGTTTTATTGCACATATGCATTTCCAAGAAAAGTACTGTACCTCGTCTCCAGGAGGAAAGGCGTCATGCTCCACTTGGCTTTAAGACTGGCAGTGACGCCTTTGGGGGCTGATATTACGTGATTTATGTTCAGCACCAGTAGCGACAGCACAATAACGCTCCTCATTGTCGCGATGGAACATGAACCTATAGCAGTGGTAGAGAGCAAAAAGGTACGCCGTCAGTTCAGCTTTTGAGAGGTGCCATTGAGTGCCACGTAGTTACTCTGAGTTATTATCTCAACCTCAAAGCCAACCCACACGCACACATACTCGTCTGAAGAAGAAAAAAACAGCTCGCAAGATTATGGGAGATGCTAGAAACATGAGAGGTCCTCGTTAACCAAGGAGAGTAATAATAAAATAACGTCTCCTCATAAGGGTCAGGCAAAGGAGTGAAGTTAACTTAGCTGCAGACTACAAGTCAGCTGCCGTGACATGAACTAAAACATCCCAGCAGCGTGTTTTGACTAACGGAGACCACGAGCATGGGTTGCCACAAACACGTAACAGTGGACAGACTATTATTTAGCTACAGTGTTGCCAATAACATCGAGCTCACCCAGTCAGTGATGCTAGTGGTTTCCATACAAAGCAAAGGGCTTCATTCAGCTGGATATTTTGGGCAGCTAACAGCCTGTACGGCTAGCCTGTTACCGGGGTTGCGGGGTGTCGAGGTGTCTCGCGCGGACCGTTATTCCTACCCGAAAGAACCGGAAACCGGAAAACAAAACGTGGCCTTTAATTATTTTAAAACACCGTTTTTTATATTGTTTATACAGACCAGGCGAGAAAGATCGTTGTATAATTAAATTAAATTAGATGATAATGTGGCAAATTATTCTGGCACATTGGCAGACAGCTAAAGAGACAGACGCTGAAGCTCAAGCACTAGAGCATGTTGTAGCAACACTAGTAGTGAGTGATGCGTGCGCGCGCGCGCGCGCGTGTGTGAGTGTGTATTTGTTGAATCTCCAGTGTGAATCTCCAGACACTTCCTGTAGGCTGTGGAAAGGAAAAATCCAAAACAGTGAATCCAAAAATTAACCGAAGTTGTTACATTACGTTTAGAATAACTTAGTTTTTGTAGCCTTCATAATGATAGTGATGATAATAATAATAATCATTATAATAATAATGTTATAGATTATTTGAACTACTTTAAAGCTATATCAGTTATCCATTCATTCCTTTTTTAGTTTTTATTAGATTTCCCTAAAGATCAGTAAAGATTGTTATGTATGATTTGTTTTTGTTTTTTGTTTGCGGCCGGGGGGTGGGGTTGTTTGTTTTTTTGTTTTGTTTTGTTTTTTTGTTTTTGTGTGACCCTACTTTGCAAATGTACCCGCAGAGAGACATTGTTGCCCGCGGAGAGACATTGTTGTTTTCACATGCTTGTCTTGTCTTCACATGACCGGTAAAGTATTATGTCCAAAATGTGCAGACTATTGTGTGGGGAAGCAGACTATTACTTTAAACTCAATTTCGACCTCACTTTAAAGGTGCATTTAAGCCTTTCTAAATTTAATAGCCATCCAAACGACACTATAAGGGCAGTTAGCCAATATAGTGACACAAAAATAATAGGGTTACATGACTGAGCTGCAGATAATGGGACAATAACAGGGTGCGCAAAGGAAATGATAGATAGATAGATAGATAGATAGATAGATAGATAGATAGATAGATAGATAGATAGATAGATAGATAGATAGATAGATAGATAGATAGATAGATAGATAGATAGATAGATAGATAGATAGATAGATAGATAGATAGATAGATAGATAGAAAGATAGATAGATAGATAGATAGGTTGGAAGGTCTTTGTATTTAAATGTGAATAAATCTCAGTATTGTCTCCGTTCAATATCCGTGTGGGCTTATGGCTTCGCACTGTGTTAAACAAGATTATGGGATGGACGGGATGGACGGGATGGGATGAGGAGCTTTCCCAGCCCAACCGCGACGAGAGCATAACGCCTATTTGTCGGCTCGGATGCAGCAGCATCCTCTCAAACGCACTGCTTCACTACAGTCAGTTCTGTCTCAACCCGTAAAGGATGCCGTACCCTGCCGGAGCATTCATGCAGCCCAACAAGAAGCCGTGCGACATTTCTGCAGAAATAAGTATGAAGATGCACTGAACCACACTGTGATTTACACTGCATGGGACCAGCACTAGAAAGAAAGAGGGAGTCAAACTAAAAACTCTCTCATCCGACTGCTTCGTTTTCAACTTGATACCGAGGCATGGGAGTCGTCGGCTTGGATGCAGCTCCACACCGGCTTCAGAAGTTGGACAGGCAGAGATTTAATTGCCATGACTCTTGAATACGGACAGGACTTCCAACGCAGTGCAGACGGCGTGCAGTATTTTAGAGTCCTTAAGGTGGACTTCTCATTTTGTCTGAGTGTCTTTGGAGAGTGTTATCTGATCAACGTGTTGCATTTAAAATATAGGCATCTTTAATCTGTCTGAGGCATGGAGGAACATTGATCTCCGAAGTGTCCACGGGTGCTCCTTATTATTCACAGTAACGGAATGAAGACACTATCTTGATATGATGGATGATAGATCCAGTAAGCTCATTTTAGTTCCTATTTTAGCTGTCCTTTTTGTTATGATAGGTTATCAGTACATATGTCCCGCTGGCAGTAATTCATGCCACTTTAAGACTGAGGAGAAATTTAGAGGGGTGAGTCTACTTTCAACCCCTTATCAGGACAGCGATGATTTCTACAGAGATCAAGACCTGGAGGATGACAGCCCTCCGAAACTATCGTCGAAATTCAACTTCACTGAAAGAGACCTTGACAGACACGTGGAGTTCAACATCAAAGGGGACGACGTGATAGTGTTTTTGCACATCCAGAAGACCGGGGGGACGACTTTCGGGAGGCACTTGGTGAGGAATATTCGCTTGGAGCAGCCGTGCGACTGCAAGCCAGGGCAGAAGAAATGCACGTGCCACCGACCGGGGAAAGAAGAGTCCTGGCTCTTCTCCCGGTTCTCTACGGGCTGGAGCTGCGGACTGCATGCAGACTGGACCGAGCTTACGAACTGTGTCCCTGTCATTATGGATAAGAAGGAGGCCCGGAGGAATAAAAGGTAACGCGTGAGAGTCTCTTACAGAAATGCACCCAGTCCCCACAACCCTGGGGGATGCAAAACAATAATGCCCAATTAAACCATGTGACCATAAAACCCTTAATGAATTCAAAATGTAAGTTTAGCCTTTAAGGAAAATGCACTGCCTCTCTTGAGTGGAGAAGTAAGCGGGGATGGAATGGGCACAGGATGGGATGGGTAGGTCTACTCATTGCTATTTCCCTGGAGGGCTTATACAGTTGTCACATTAGGTACAGTATAGTGTACATGAACTTTTTAGGCATCCCCTGTAAGAGGTGAGACTGGAGATAGCTTCTGTAGCTCACTGTAACAACATTCATATACTGTTTTTAAACCTCTAAAATATAAATCTACTGCAAACAGTTAACAGTTAATTGTGCTTAATTGTGCTTAACACCTATCCAAATAACTACTAATATAACTGCTAATATAATTCAAATAAATCTCCATTGATACAACCTCCTGAAAATGAACACAGAATTCTATAAAAGCCACTCTGAATCCTTCTTTGCCCAACTTTTGTCCTTGAGGTGTTGATGAAGTTGTAAAAAGCTCATGCTCGAGTGCAACTCCTACATCAGGAGCTACTCACAATTCTCTGTGCACCCTTGGCCTTTATGTCTTGCGTTGATGAGTCCCTCTGAGGTGTTTTTTTTTTTTCTTTGTTGTTGTTGTTGGCACGCAAAAGCAGTGCGCCACTCCCGTACCACATGAAGTCTCCTCATTTGAAGCCATCCTTACTTCATGACTGAGTTCAAATTTTTCCAGGATGTTTGTTTGTTTGTTTGTTTGGTTCTGTGATGTCACCTCACAGGAAATGCGGAGAAGACCTGCTTCATTCAAAACCCATTATCCGTCAGCGTGTTGTGTGGTAATTACAGTTAAAAAGACATTTGCAAATGCTTCTACTAATGTACAGTCTTGTACAATTACTAAAAGTGGGTGTACTGCAATGAAGCATCCAGTGGATGAGCAATGCGTGTTTGAGTGTTTTCGCTTAGCAAAGTGGATATGTGTATATTTCCGTGCAGCTTCCAGAGTCACTGATTCTTTTAAAAAACTGCAGTAGAAGATACTCGTGCAAGTACTACAAACCGAAGGTGTACTGGCCAAATGTCTTGTTACATTTTTTATTTTTTTAAACTGCAGATAATTTCCTTTTCTGGTTCATATATATATATATATATATATATATATATATATATATATATATATATATATATATATATATAACACTGAAGTACTTGAGCGCATGATTTATTTCTGCTGTGCCAAGTGTTTTCTTTACTCAGGGAAGTGCTCACTAGATGCGACAGCTCTTCATTTCACAGCTGCAGCATCCATTCTGCTCTTACAGTCCTCTCATGCCTTGTTCCTCAGTGCGCTCCCGCAGCATCTATTCTGAGATTATTCTGCCACGACGACCGAGACTGTTGCCAGACACATTATGTTAGACCACCTCACTAACCAGCCACTGCATAAGGCACATTTATGTGCCATTTGAAAGAGATGACTAACAGCGTTATGCAAATTTTATCCTCATAATTAATTTGTGTATGAGAAATGCCTTAAATTATAATATCATAAATGGTATAAGGTCAAAGTAAAAAAAAAATCACCCTTGCCCAGCAAAACATGCCATTTGTAATAAAGAAAATACTATAATCCACTTAGAAAAATGTTTAGTCCACCTAAGGGCACGCCGGAGGAATGCCAATACTATATCACTGCCAAATTCTGATGGTACGGCCTTGTTTTGTGATGGGAGCCTCTGAGATTGAGTGGCTGTCTGAGATTGAGTCCTGAGTATACGACTTGCCGGCTCCTGAGGTGGCAGTAAGGGGAGGCCGGGGAAGGAGGGCTGTGATGGCACTGCCTGCGTGGCATGGTGTGGCCTTTTCAGCCAGGCGGTGCGTGCTGCATGGCGAGCCAGCCGTACGGCCCAGGAAAGGTCAGGCGTGTCAGACTGGATCAGCGTGTCCTGCGGTGTAGCTCCTCTGGAGAGTGCTGTCAGTCAGGGGAGAAGCGGAGCAGGCAGGCGGCCTCTCTTCAGGGACTTTTTGGAGAAACATACTTCTAAGTGCTGTCCTCTTAAGTTGCTTTGTGGAGAGCATCACAGTATTACCTTGTCTGCTGCATGAATTTGGCTGGCTGAGCAGGTTGTTTTTCCTCTCAGGCGATTTCAGAGTTCTCTGCTGAGGACTGCTGTTGGAATTATTTCTGATTGGTACATGTTCATTATCTAACTCTCCAGTCAGGAGTAACTCATGCAGATGTATTCAGTGTGACACTGGGTGCTGATTTTGAAAATGTATTTAACGCTAATGCGCCAAGAACTGACTGAGTAAATGATGTCTTCAGAAGCCTGTGTAATAAAAGGTTAGTATTAGAGAAATATCTGATGTTCTTCTCTACTGAAATTGAAGCGAGCTCAGTGTGATATTCTACCACCAGGTGCAGCTGAACATCTGTCACAGAGATAAATAAACAACAGCAGAACTTTATTGTTGGTCTGAGGCAA